CGATCAAGCTGTAGTCTTTTTCACATATTCCCATTAATTTTGGAGCACTATGTACTTTCAGAACAACAAAACACACTAGACTCATTTTCTGTTTTATTGCACCAAATCAGGAACAGCTATTTATATAAGACCCATTTCCTTTTACTTAGAAGTTAAGATCTAGGAAACATCATTACTCAAAACTGTATTTTAAAAATCAAAGCTAGGCATGGGTTTTACACACCTGTAATCCCAGAATTCTGGGAGGCTGAGGCAGGAGAATTTCAAGTTTGAGACCAGCCTAGACAATCCTTAGCAAGAAACTTTCTCTTGCTAACTTAGCAAGAGCCTGTCTCAAAATGACAAATAAAAAGGGCCAGCAATATAACTTAGTGTGAAGGTCCTGAGATCAACCCCAAGTCACAAACAAAACAAAACAAAACAAAACAAAGCAAAACAAAACACACAAAAACCCTCTACCCCAGGTCATGAGTTCATTTTCAGTTGAAATTTAATACCACTTGATTCTTCTCTGCCTTTTGAATTCATATTTGTCCTTTTTTCCCCACAGTGAAAACTGTGTTTCTCAAAAATATCAACATAAAGCCAAGTGTCCTGGCACAAGCCTGTAATCCCAGCACTCATGAAGCTGAGGCAGGAGGATCATTGTGAATTCGAGACCAGCCTGGGCTACAAACTGAGCTCACAGCCAGTCTGAACTGCATAGCAAAACTTTGTCTCAAAAAGAAAAAACAAAACAAAAATATTCTATTCTGTTTTACATTAAACAATTTCAAAATTATACAATTACAAAAATGAGTATCACATTTCAGTAGAAGTGTACACTCAGGAAGCTATTTTCTTTAGTTACTTATTAAAATATTTTATTGAAGTTAGAAATGTTATAATTTTTAGTACATAGGTTATCCTTGCCATTTAGTTAAATGAACCCAAGCTAAGCATGTTTCAGCTTCTGCGTTCATCACAGAGGGTACAGAAATAAGTAAGATTCTGTTTCTGTAGCTGCAAAACCTCCCTAACACAGTAAGAGGTAAGTGATCCAATCACTGCAGTGCAGCAGAGGATGGGCCAAAGCAAGCTGCCTGCTGGATGGTAGGGTGTTATAGGAGAGAACCACCTTACTCAGCTGGGGAGGGAGGACTTCCTAGAGGAATTCAGGTGCAGCCTTAAAGAAGGTGGGATGTGAGTGAGAAGGCCGGGATGTCCTGACAGGATGTGGAATGGGAAGAGAGACTCTAGGAAATAGCACTGGTGGAGAAGGCGGCTTGGTGATGACAAAGTGCCAGGTCAGGAAGCCAGGGAGTTGAACAGAAACCCAGTCATGAATGTGTCAGCCATGCTAACTAATTTTCTCCTCAAGTTCTTGTTCCCTCTCTGTCGCCTTTGTGCCTGGACAACTCCCTTGGCTAAGTCACGCACATCGTATCCATACCAGCTCTCCCTTTTACATTCAACCAAGTATGTTCTTGCTTCTTTTAGTCGGTCCCAAGAACTGAGGAATACTCCTTGATGTTCACTTTCTGAGGTTTTTAATCCTTATCTGACTTGATGTTTTCAACTTTTAAAATTACTTTTTGTTTTAGTGACTTTCCTTGTCATACAGGTTACACAGTACTTAGTCACTTTCCTTGGTATATAATATCCAATACTCACCACTTAGAGGTTTATTCAGGCTAACAGTTTCAGAGAGGTCCAGGCATGGTGGGCTTGGGGATAAATGGCTACTCATGCCATGGCAACCAGCAAAGAGAGGAAAGGGTGGAACCAGCAAGAGAAATCAAACCTTTTAGCTTACACCCTCGGTGACTTGCCTCTTTCAGCTACACTTGGCTGCATAACTCACCACTGAATACATTTACCAATGACTATAGTGCCCCCATGATCAGCAGATCACCTTCCAAAGCCCCACCTCTAAGCACATGAGGCTTTCTGGAGACATTCCACATCCAGATCACACCAACTCTTTCTCCAATCATGATTTTACTTCACATTTTCCTAGTTTTGTAAACGTGATCTCTGGTCTCTTTCATTGACTGTTCTGCTTCCTTTTTGCTTGTATCTTAAATCTGTCTTCACCCAAGGTCTGGTCTTAGTCATTTCTTCTCACTTAATATTTACTTTGAGTATTCCTATCCACTATTACCCACTGCCACTCACTGTGGTAGATGCTGTGAGGTTGCCTGCTGATGCTCATTCTTGTTAAACTTGTTGAAGAGTGGGGCTTTCAGAAGGTGATCATGATACTCTAACATGATCAGTGGATTAACTCATTGATGACATCATAATCTGATGGTATTGAGAGATAATGGGAATTTAGAAGGTGAGGCCTATTTGAAGAGATGTGATCTTGGGGACCTTATCTTATCCTTGCCCCTTCCTTTCTGACTCTTCCTCTCTGCTTCTTGGGTACCACAAGGTGAGCAGCTTTACTTCACCTTCTGCCATGTTTCTGCTTTACAATAGGCCCAAAAGCAGTGGTCAGTTCCTCGTGGACTGAAACCTCTGAAACTGTGAGCCAATATAAACCTTTCCTTAAGTTATTTGTGTCAGGCTTTTTTTAAAAAAAAAATTTTTTTTTAATCGGTACCAGGGATCGAGCTCATGACTGTGCTCTTGCAAGGTAGGTGCTTATTCTGCTGAGCTAAATTCCCAGCCCCATGTGTCAGGCTTTTTGTCATAATGATGGAAAGCTAATGTGTGTGTGAAAATGTGTCTTAAGTTTTCTCATTATTGAGACAAAATACTTGACGGCCAACGTTAAAACTGGAAAGGTTTATTGCAGCTCAGTTTGTAGAGGTTTCAAGTCATGGGTGGCTGGCTGCAAAATGGTGGCACAGCAGAGAAGAAACAGTTCATGATGGGCAGAAGGCAACAAAGCAGTGAAGTAGCAAACAACAGTGAAGCAGCAAGCAGCAACACCAGCAGCCCACTCTCGCCCTTGTGGTCTGTCTGTCCAGGTTATCTGCCTTTAGGGTAGGTAGCACTCACACCCAGGCTGTGATCACCTTAACCCTAGCATTGTTCCATGAGTCAATCACCTTAATCCCAGCATCACACTCTAGATTCATCCACCTCTGAAAAGCTTCACCTATGACTGCATGAAGCTTTAGTGGGACATCTAGACACAAGGCCTAACAATATGCTAAAGCTTTCTACTTTCCAAAAAGAAATACAACTTTTTCATCCCCTCTCCCCCCGATTATAAACTGAAGACCAGAGGTGGACTCAAAGATAGAAGCCTCAGGCTGATTGTGGAATAGAAAGACAGAATATAGCAAACATTGCCGAGTGTTGGCCTAATGCCATCCTCGGACTGCCAACTTCTGGCCTTTCTGGCCATGTGTGTGAAAAAAGCATCTGTGTGTGTTCAAGCCATAAAAGAAATATTTTAATAGTTACACCCTGATTTAAATGTTACACAATGAATATATATACTGAAACATCATAGTATGTTCACATGTATACAACTTAGATATATCAGTATGTGTGCAAAACTCTATATAATTATTCACACATGTATTCTAGCTCTATGTAGAAGGCCTGAGAGTAAAGACACCCAGTAGTAATTAAGTGCATGGAACACTCAAATTGTTTACATGAATAATTTATTCACATTTAATATAATCACTGACAGTAGGATTTTCTTTTTTGTATTTTTGAGACAAGGTTTCACTATGCAGTTTAGGCTGGACTTAAACTCATTTTGTGCCCCAGGCTGGCCTCAAACTCACAGTAAACCTGCTTCAGTCTCTTGAGTGCTGCGATTACAGGTGTGTGCCACCATAAATTGGATTTAGATGTGACATTTTCACCTTTTCTGTTTGTTCTGTTCTTTGCTTCTAATTGAACTTCTAAATTTATTAATATATAAAATTGTATATAATATGGTAGTATGTAACGTTTTAAACACATACACATTGTGTTGATCTTACTTTTTAAAAATCATTTTTCATCAAAGGGATTGAGGATTCTTGGGCAAAATAGTGTGTTCAAGAACCAAAGCAGAAAATGGGGTGAAAGAATGCAACTGTTCATAATGGTTCCTTGTGAAGGGGACCCTGACCTTTACAAGCTCATCAAATGTATGACAATTTGACCAAATACATGATGATATTGACAAATCAATGAGCACTCTTAATAGTAAAATGTCAGTATCGTATATAAGGAATGAAGGAAATAAATCATTTGAAAATCATTTAAATAATAATTCAGCTAAGAAAGTTAAAAGCAGAGAGGTAGCACTGGACTGTTAGAATACTTATATAGAAGTGAGTGTTAACTGTAAAGTGAAAGGGTACTTTTACAGGCCTTCCCGGTCTCACTGGCAATGGGACAAATAGACCTCTTAGCTTTCAGCTAGGATGTGCTAAGAGGAGAGCATTACTTCTGTGATATTTCAACCAAAACTGCATGCTCTGAATCTAATCATTAGGAAGCATGATACAAATCCAAACCGAAGAACTTCTATTAAACAACATATAAGCATTAAAAAGCTTAAAGCTATGAAGATCAATGAAGAACTAAGAAATAACTCTGACTTGAAAGAAACTGAAGAAATATGACACTATGACAAACGTGATTGGGGCTGGGGATTTAGCTCGGCGGCATAAGCACCTGCCTTGTAAGTGTGCGGTCCCGAGTTTGTTCCCTGGTACCAATAAAAATGAAAAAGACAAAAAAAAAAAAAAAAAAAAAAGAAAAAGAAAAATTAAAAAAAAAGACAAATGTGATCTTGGTCTGGATTCTCTCGCTAAAGGAGGACATAATTGGGCAGCTAGAGAAACATGATTGAGAGTCTTGGAGTGAAGGGTATGTAGGAATTATTTGCAAGATCTTGTAGGTTTTTTGTATGAAGTTATTTAAAATGTTCCAAAAGTAGAGGCCGGGGATTTAGCTCAGTGGCATAAAAGTGCCTGCTTGGCAAGTGTAACGACATGAGATCGATCCCCTGTACAAAAAAAAAAAATCATAATTAGTCAAAAAGACCCAGAAGCAACAAATTTGTTCAAAATTTTTTATTTACTAAAAAGACAAAACACCAAAATAGGTACAAATACTATAAAATTGGTTCAATGGGGTAAAAATTTTAATTAAAATATCTCAATATATTTAAAATAACAAAGGATACATTTAAGCCAAATTTTCTTAACCCAGAGATTTTTTTTTCTTTTTTGTAACATTTGCTTACACAGTAAGGTGCTACTAGAAGTTAGCCCTTGAGCCCTGGAAGTCTTAGGAATCATAGTCACACAGCAAATATAATTTCATTGTGAAAGTGAACTTTGGTAGAAGAAAAATCTATAGGACACCTGAGGTAGTAGAAACTGGAATAAACAGCAGTAGACGATATTTACAACTTGAGTACCAAATAACATTAAGAACATAAAAATAATTACACAATACAATTTTCAGTCCAGCTTTGATCCAAAGAAAATAAGAATATTACATCACATTTGCATTGAAAACAAAACAAAAAACAAAACACCACAATTACCAGCAAGCTGAGGGAACTGCAAACAAACTCAAACACAATGGATTTTGACATCTAGAGACAGTTTGAGTTTGAAATGTGGTGGGCATGATGATCTAAAGTAATACTGATTAGCTGAGGTTCCTCAGTTTACACAGTTTACGTTTCTGTCAGATGCAGTATTAATCTGACCAGTGATCTTCCAGTACATAAAATGGCAAGAGTGTGTCCTTTAAAGCTTGCACATGAGAGACTTGGAAATAATCTTATTAGAACTGTGAAAATTCTAAGTAGTAAACAAACAAAGGTCAAGTACAATACATTTAGAACTACCAAACTTCACATTTCTGTACTACTTTTAACTCTTCGAATATTGCCAATCTTCCAAAACAAAGGAATGTAAAATTTCACTAAGAAACACAATCACATAAAAAACTGCTTTTCAAAAATTATATGCAATATATCCCTGTAAACTTTTCTTGTAACGTATTTTACTTCCAATTTGTAGTGTACATTTTAAATGTACTTTATATAGCTTATTTACTTTATCCTGAGTCTTTGAGAATAACCAATTCTATGTCACACTGGCATCTGAAGAGTTAAAACTTAAAAATCTTGAAGATTATATTTAATAATCAGTACTTGATTTAAAAGACACACACAAAAAAGGATAAAAGAGCTACCATTTCCCTCTGGAATTCCATGCATCTGAATTCAACTCCAGACTAAAGCCATTAAATAGTTGTGCAACATCCAAAGAACTGATGTAAAAATGAAACTCAATTTCATTTTTCTTTCTGAACATATTCTCTAAGTTCAAAGCACATTTATTATTAAAAATATTGCTGATTGGTAGTTGAACACACTGATTTTTCTTTAACTATCAGGCAGGCCTAATGTAGAAAGATGATGCATGGCAGAAGGAAAATACTTGTTATAGTCAGTGGTAATGGTGAGGACTGTTACACACAGAGCAAGATCTAAATGATGTGAAGTCTCCTACACTTTAGCAAAGAAACAGAATTACTCTGATTCTCTGCTCTGAGAACAGAAAAAAATTAAATGAATTTCAAGGTAATCTTGCTGTGGTTGTGAGCTGTATCACACAAGACAGTTGATTTTGTTAATTTATATTTAATCTGCCAATAAGATGACTCATTCAATGTAGGCAATACTTTATTATATTCCAATTTAAAAAACATTAAACCTGTATTTAAAAATTCTTGCAGTAGCAAGGTATTTAATAAAGTTTAGTTCACACCTACTGTTATTTTTCTAGTTTGAAAAGATCACCTTTCCCTGAATATTAAACAAAAATGGAGGTGAAATGAAAATACAGAACCATAATTTCCAAAAACGAAATGAATGGGCCAACAGTAAAATGCACAATGAACCACAACTGCCCGCCATTAGAAAAATAAAGGTCAACTGTGGATCATGAAGAAGTCATCACCTTTAAAAAAATATGTATTTACTGCTACTCATAGCATACTCTGACCTAAAAGAGGCAGATACTGATTTTTATAGCCAGTGACCAAAAAACTGAACGGAATTATAGAACCCCCTCCCTGCTTGTGATCACTAAAAAAAAAAAAAGGAAGAATAACTGAAACATTAAAATAGATCCTGAGCCCCTCAGCTCCTAATATTGCTGAAAAAGTGCTCCAAAAATATTATGCTTCTGTTATTTAGTCATGCAAACTTCACTGCTTTCCTGTTTACCTAGGGCCAGTTCTTTGAAAGGCACGGTTTACAGTTTCTGCACAAGGTGTAGACTTTTGCATACTGAGCTTAGGTACAAATCATGATTTGTCAATCACATACTTAGGTAAGGGTTCCCTACTGGCCTTATCATAGCTGTTCAGTGGCATGATGGCCAGCAGATCAGTGTGGTTCCCAACAAGTTTTTTTTCCTTGTTGAGCATCCAGTCTCTAGAATAGTTTATTTTACAATCGGCTACCACGTTGTACGGAAGACTGGATGCTTCAGTAGCTCTCTTGATGGAGGTCTGTCCTGAGGTTGAAGTTCTAAACAACGAAGAGCCACATCACGTAAACCAGGAGACAGATGTGAAGGGATTGATGGAGCAGTAGTTGCACTGGCAATCTGCAGGACAAGGAGAGAATTCAAGCTTTCCATAAATGCAGCTCTGATTACAAAAGTGCATGTACACGTATTTCATGATTTCTATCAGTATGTGTTTATGAACTACATAGATTTTTTCTTCAATACTGGACAAATCTTAATTCTTAATATCAAACACTATGAAGAACTAGCTTAGATTATGAATAAATCTTAAAAATGCAAAGTGATATAAAGAAAAATATTAAGTCTGTGATCCTATACCAAGATATACTTAGTTGATACACATCTTAACACAAAAGAAAAAAATACAAAAGAAAAAGTGATACCCTTTTTACTCAAATGTAATCATTTAGTACTAACAATTTATGTTTCCTTTATAGGTTAAAAAAAGGCTAATATGTTGATACCTTAGATTATCTTTACAAAACACCTACAAAAGGAATCACTTTATATATCTTGCTCTTTTCACTTATTCACATATTTCAGTACTTTCTAAATCAACACTAACACTTTTATATTACTCTTAAATTTTTATATAGTATTACAGATTATTTAGTTACTTTCTTATTGGTGGACACTTCAATTAGTTCAGGTTTTGTGTACCACAATCAGTGGTGCAATGAATAATCTTGAACCTGCTAACTTTCTTTGGGCAAATACAAACTACTGACAATGGGCACAGGTGAGTCAGAGAACAAGTATATTTAAAATTTTGGCAGATATCACCAAACTACGCTCTTAAAAAAAAAGATGCTACAACAATTTAAGCACAAATAGGGTGCAAAAATGCTTGTGAAAACTGTTTTCCTATTTGTGGTGCTTCCACAGATCTCAAATTATTTACTGGAAGTTAAAACAATGCTGCAGTGTAATTCCCTTTAAGCTCCACTTAGCAATCAAAATGCATGACATCTATTAAAATATGTACTGCATCATTTTAAATTAATCTTCACTTGTTCCAAGGGTTCACCAAAACTAAAAACAGTCACGAAGTGTCAAAATGACCTAGCCATGAGCATTTATTGAGCAACTTCTATATCAGACTGGAGGCTTAAAGTCTGAAAGAAGGGGGTTGGATAGGGACATAAATACAAGATTAACAATGGAAGTACTAGTTACAGGCAAAGTGAAAAGCTTTGGGAGTCTAGTGAAGGAGCATCAGGGGTTTGTGGAAAGGGACACCAGGCAAGAAGGGCAACAGTGGTTTCAGACCTTTGGCCATACAGAGAAGGGACATGGAAGCAGGAAGAGGGAAAATGTGCCTGAAGAGACTCCCAAGCAAGTTGTAAAAATGTGGGGAACATTGAGAGAAGGTGATGGCTGGTAGGCAACTCTGGGCTAAGAGCTGGACTAATGCCCAGAGGTAATTCTGCTTATCTTCCTAACAATCCCATAAACTAGGTGCTAATGTTGCATCCACTTTGCACATGAAAAAATAAACAGTAGATACAGAAAGTAATTTTCCTAAGTTCATCTGGCCAATTAGGGTAGAGCTAAGAGTTTGCAACCAGGTACATATGATTCCAAAGACCATATTTTTATTAATTATTACATGTCTACTCAAAAACTAAAAGTCTCGACTACTACAATAGTCTGTGGAGGAACTGGAGATAGTGAATTTGGTGTTTGCAAAAAGGTAGACAGGATTTGGCAACTGAAGTTTTTAAATAAGAAAATAAAAACTGAAGGGAAGTTTTTTTTTTTTGCGGTACCAAGGATTGAACTCACAACCTTGTGCTTGCCAGGCAGGCACTTATGCTGCTGAGCTAAATCCCCGGCCCTAAAGGGAAGTTTTTAAATACAAAAATAGTAAATTATATTTTTAAAAAATTTATGAATTGTATAATATGAAGAGCTCCAAGTTTCTGAAGTGATTATATATATAGTACATATGCATAGCTGTATCTACTATGCGTACACACATACTTTGCTGCAAATAAGGAATCAGTATTTGCTAATTCATTGTGTAGACTTTATAAACATTAACTGCCTGAAATAGTGAGAAGTAACTGTAAATGCCACCAACAGTGACAATACAATATAAATTCCTGTAGATATATATTTATTTCAAATAAGGTATATATTTGTTAGATTGATAAGAGAAATTATGAGCATTTTGACACCTGACAATTTTAATGCAAAAAAGTAATTTTTATCTCAAAATTACCTTAAATATCAAAGCAAGATGGTTGGAGTGTTTTTCTGCATTCCAAGGTGGTTTTGCACAAGCCATTTCTATAATAGCACAGCCCACACTCCATACATCACAGCTCCTACCATACTGCTGACCTCTTAGCACCTAAAATAAAGCCGAATTAATTTGGAAATATTTCATTTGAAAAAGAGAAAGCCATTTTGTAGTTATAGATTCTAATTTTTCTACTTCAGAGCAAAATAATGGTATAAATAGCAATTACTCAAGACTACTTGAGATCTCATTAACAAGCTTCATCTTCCATCACACAGAAAAATAAACAATACAGAATTCCAAACCAGGCCCAGTGGTCTTAGAAAAATTATGCAGACAGCAAATAATCACTACACATGAACATGAGCCATGAAGAAAGGCCAAGTTCTAAAGAATAATGCTTTGTTAGCACTACTGAGAAGGCCTGCTTCAGGCTCACGTCCTCTGGAGATACACAATTTTTAATGTTTTCATTGTACGTGCTTTGGGTGTACTTATGAAACACACTATAAACTACCAAACAGTTGTTAGAAATAGCCTTCAAGCAAATCTAGTAAAGCTTGTCTTTTGGGATTTCATTAAAACAAAAATAAAAATGCTGAGAATAAGGTTCTGAAGTACTACATACCACAGTGAAATAACCTGGTATAATGTCACATAGAACTCCAAAATATTTTCTTTCATCACATTCCAAACTACTTCTCACCTCTGGTGCCATAAACGCAATTGTCCCCAATAACTGTCCCTGAAACTCTCCCGCGCCAGTTCCTTTTGACGCCAACCTGGCTGCAGCTCCAAAATCTGCAATTCTCAGTCTCTGACCTGTGCTGTCAATTAGCAAATTGGCACCTGTCAACAAAACAGTGAATGACCTCAGATATTGAAAACAAAAGGACAGATTAAAAGCCCAGTAAACTTCTACTAATGAAATTGGCTAATGATGAAAAATATGAGTGTACTATATGTAAGAGGTTCCGAGGAGACTACTCTCTTCCTCCATCACAGAATTAATGATAAAGGTACACTGATCCCTCTAGTATGATTAAAATCTACAGCCCCAGTGGGAAAGTGAGAAAGTCTTAAGGTATAGCAAGATAAGGGCACAAACTTAGTGAACCTTTAAGGAATAAGTACTGAAAATCTTCAGCAGTGTAACACTTTTAAAACAAAACTTTTCTTCAAGTTTTAGTGTAATTTACATTTTAAGACAACACATTGCCTTATACTAATTCTAAGTATATGCTTATTTCATAATTACAGCTTAATAAAAATCTTATAATCGATACACTATTTCAAATACTAATTTAAAAGGTTCATGACAGAAAACCAAAAAGTGCCCTTATTAACTTATATGAAGTAATTTTTCTTATAGAAGTTTATGATATTCTAATTATTTGAAATAAAACCAAATAAGCTTTCGGGCATCACTACATCGTGAAGCCAAGACAGAAAGTCAAGAGATCCCCATTCTATACTTTCTGTTCTCAAACAGTAGAAAACTAGGGAAAAGTTATAGCTTTTCTTGTATTGAATGTACTTTTTATCAAGTAAAAAAGGCAGATTAAATGACCTTTCAGTTTTAATATTCTAATGATTTGAGTTATTCTGAGAAACAATTCAATAGTTAAAAATTCAGGTTAGACACTATCAACAAACGTCTAAGTTTAAAAACTACATTTATTTTCCTATTATCACTAGAAAATAATTAAAAGATTTTTACCTTTGACATCTCTATGAATGATCTGGTTTTCATGAAGATATGAAAGGCCACGAAGTAACTGTTCAGTATAGTTAATAACTACTGATTCCTTGAAAGCTCCGTATTTACTCAGCAGATGGGCCACAGATCCTCCTATATAATAGAAGCAAAATAGTAGTAACTGTCATGAACTGTTCAGAATTAAAATTATTTATTATACTTTGGTTTCTTAACCATTGCCTGAGCTCACATTCATGTCTGAAATGTTAGATAGCCCACATCAGAAGTGAGTTTGATTTCTTGGATCATCTCAAAAATCTATCAATTAGGAGACTTCCTAGTTCTATCTATCAATTAGGTTTTTACAAAACCTTCATGAAACTAGCTTACTGGAGGGTTGTGATTTCAGAAAGTTTTAGAAATTAACAGGAATTATTTCTGAATGTACATTTTATTCTGTGTTCGCAATAAAAATATACAAAATCTCTTATTGACTTAAGCAAATAACATTAACATATTTAGCAGAAGAGAGACTGAGAGATGAGCCGGAAGGCCTAGAGTTAGGCCTCACATCCTGCCTGAAGTATTAACTTCACCCTGGGATAAGTCACAAACTAAAATGAACCCAATTTAAAAGTACTTGTAATAGTCAATTTGTCTATATCCTTATGAAGACCAAAAATAGATACTATATTTAAGAACTGATAAACAGAAACATTCTTAAAATATACATGAACTTAAAAAGGTAATAAAAACTATGCATCAAAATCTTGATCTGCTTTTAGAAACCCCATTTTTAAAATGTTTTCATCAAACTGTTACAGCTATTTAAAAATTAAATCTTCACTAAATTGTTTCCCCGAAATAGCAGAAAGTTAATCCCACATACTTATGTCCTGTTATTTGTAATTTAAAGCATGAACATACCCGCCATCCATTCGATGAAGAGATTGTAATTGCTCTTCTCACACGTGGCTCCCAACATCCTAATGATGTTTGGATGATTTAGATGGCTCATCATTCTTATTTCTTCTCTTAATGCTTCCACCACTTCTTCTTGCTCAGAAGATGTGTTTCTGACGTATGTCACCTGTTTCAAATAAATGTGTTCACAAAGTTTTAAGTTCTGATGGTTCTGTTTTCATAATTAAAATCTGACCTAAATGGACAAATCCAAATTAGCTTAAATGTTAATAACAGATGGCATTGATGTGTATGCCTACAATGTATTTTATTTAAAAATAAAACAAAACAAAATAAAAATCCAGCTTTTGTAGCTGTGGAATATAAAAAAAAAGGCAAGCAATTGGGAGACAGTCATGATTCTACTTGTCTACAGATGGAGTAAAAATGAGAAAAACCCAATCATGGAAGAATGATCATATTGATCACTTGAAACCACAGAAACCAAGATGCACTATACCAGTACACTGGTAAAGGAGTATGAAGCCATACCCATACTAACTATAAAAAGCAGAAACAAGAACACCAAACATCTATAGACCCTTCCTGACATTGTATCTTACAATAATCATGCTTCAAGGCTTTTGTAGTTTTTTGGGGGGGGGGGGGGGGTTCCTCTGGTAAAATCTACTTTGAAACAGTCTTTGCAAAGAACCAAAGTGTATGAGTGTATAGGCATATCAGTTACTCTTTTTATTTATATATGCTTCATTTTATACTTGAATAATTTCACTTGTGTATTCATTTACCTGTTTGACAGCCATTAAAGTTCCGGTTCCCACATCCTGTGCTTGGTAACAAGAAGAAAATGCCCCAAGGCCTATTTGCTGGCCTTTCAGCCACTCAGTGTCTTCTCTATAAGGCTGTTTTGCTTTGGTATGTCCTGGTAGAGTCTCTGGTGTCTACATATTAAATGAAAGCAATCTTTTTACTGTTAAATTAAAAGAGCAAGATTTTGTGAAATTAGCCTGGCAAAGTATTACTCTTGTTTTATCTGGTTTCCCAAACCACCTTATAAACTAGAACTCTGAAAGGACTATGTTGGTCCAATGGTTGGTCACCATTATAGAATCAATCGGAAAGGTCTTTAAAATAGGCCAGGAATATTGCAGTTTAAAAGATACAACTATTACTGTTATATAATTAATCACAAGAAAAACCTGTTTGCAATGAATATACTGTCGAAAAAGCAACATTTCTGAATTATATCTATCTTAGTATAGTTCAAGGAAATTCTAACTCTTAAAGACTATACTTACATCCTGTTGAATAATGATGATATCTTCTCCATTTTCAACCTGTAGTTGAGGAACTATGGGAAGAGCATCCTGAGATGCTGACATTGCCATGGCAATTGCTAAAGCTTCCTCTTCTTCAGCTTCCATCTTTTCTTTGCACTTCTGATTGTGATTCACATCATCTTTGTAGGTATCATCATTTTCAGCCTTTTCAGGAGACAGAACAGCAACTTCTGACTTAAAAGTGACTGTTGTGTCACTTGAAGGCATAGATGCTTCAAGAAGATCCTCAATACTGGAGTTGAGCTCTGTATTGACATCTAATCTGCATTTTTCCTCTACTGGCGTGAACACTGTCTCATCACTGGGAATAACTGCATTACTGCTGTTGCTGCTGCTGCCAAAGCTGTCATCACATTTGGAAGTACTGTTCAAATCAAGTGTCATGCTATTTTTTGAGGCTTCTCCCTGTTTACTTGTATTACCTGGGGTAGGTCGAGATGGCTTTGGCCTATGTATGGTGCTGGAAGGCAAGGGTCTAGACTGAGTGAATATAGGGGAAAGTTTGTCTGAGTCTTTATTTTCAGAACAGTTTCTCTGGAATTGTAGAGAAAACTTGCGTTGTGTTTGAGGAGATGCAGAAGGTATTTTGCAGGGAACGAATCCCTGAGGTCTATGCTTGGAGACATCTGTTACAGAGTCAGCTGGTACAGATGGGGCAGATGAAGAAGGGGATGACAAGGCTGGGAATGTTTGTTGGGAATGATGAGATAAAACAGAGGTGTTCAAACACTGATTGTGGGGTCTACCTTTTGTTTGAACCATTGGCTTTGGTTGCTCTGTTGTTGCTGAACTAGGAAGTCCTACAGAAATGCTGGCCAGTCTATCGGAAATGTCCTCTGAGCTGTCACTCATTTTTGTAGCACATAATCTTTTTCCAGTTTTGTCTAAATGAACTGTTTGCTCCAGGGACCTGTCCTCTGTGGCTTCTGGATAGCTAGAATGGGCAGCTTCCTGTAAAAACCTGTTTTGTTGGCCATCCAAAGTGTCTTCCATGCCCAGCTGGATCACCTCAGCGATTTCCACTTCATCTGCAATAGCCATCAAACGACGACGCATCCTGCAGAAGTGAGTAGAACTCGAAACACTCAGCATTTCTAGCAGTTTTGAAAACACATGGGGTACTGCAGTCACCATTCTTGCCGAACTCAAATATATTCTTCGAGAGAGTTTACCAACCATTGAATGGGAATTATCAATGGACTGTAAAGCAAAGGTTAAGAGGGACAGCAGCTTTTTATACCTGCAAAGAGAAGAAAAAAATAAAACCACATGCCATTACTAGACAAATTCAAATTATCAAAGGATGTATGTATATTTTAAAAAGGTAAACTTTTAGTTTTGCACTTCAAAAAGCATTTGGTATGCATGATCTGTACATTTCTAATTAAATAGTGTAGACTTCATGTTTCTATACCAATCAAATATTAAGGTATTTTAACTTATCTATGATCTTTAATTTTTGAATCCTTCATAAATCTAAAACATGTCACTCTTGGGGAGGATGTGGAATAGATATGAAGAATATATTTCTGGAATAAAAAAAAAAATCACCTGATTTCAACAGGCTCAGCTTGTGAAACATCAGTACTGATGATATGAGGATAAAATTCAGCAGGAAATTCCAACAATAGTCTGTCTATAAGACAAAGGCGACCTAGGAGTTCTTGCCAGTTGTTTGACTCAATATTATTTCCAAGAATACAATTTAAGACATAATCCACACCTCCAATACCAATGGATCCTATAAAAGAAAAGTAAAATAAATGGTTTAAAAATAAAATCTAAAAACAAGATACAATGAGCAAGGCCAAAAAATTGCCTGGATTATATTAGTTTTAACGTTTTCTGTTAAAGTAATTCATATTTGTTTTTACTTTAAAGAGATTAAGACAAACAAAGCAGACCAGATCAGAACAATGCAAATAACACAGCATTTTACCACAAGACACCCATAATTAACAGTAACTACCATAATATCTCTTTCTTTGAAATAGTTGAGCATAGCTTCATATACCATAGTATGAAGCATAACAAAACAGTATAAAACCATTCAAGAGAATGAAAGCATTACAAGGCTTTCAGAACCAAATAGCACAGAACGAACAATGGCTACTATATTATCTCATTTTCCATAGAAAATTTGTTTATACTATCACACGTAATAAAATCCAATAAGATGTAACAGGATAGAACCAAAGGAAACAAACAAAAAAAAAGCATAGTAGGACTTCAGAGTAAGATGATACTAAATCAGCACTGGCTATTCTAATGTCTTGTTTTCTTTAAAATACCTATTTATACTATCACAGACAATAAAATCAAACAAACTAGGATAAAACCATTCTAACTAATGAATGTAGACATTATAAGGCTTCAGAGCAACGTAATAGGGAATCATCATTACTATAAACTCTTATGTACTCTTACCATTTCTTATACTAGGGAGACTATACAGTATTTATACATGTGAGTTTGATTTATTTCACCTATGAGTATGGTCTCAAGTTGCGTCCATTTATTTAAAAATATATCAGTGTGATCATTCTTTACAGCTGAGTAGTACTTCATTGTATAAAAATAACAAAGCTTTTTTATCCATTCCTCAGTTGATGGACACTTAGGTTGTTTCCAAGATATGGCATTACAAAGTATGCTGCTATTAACATGGGAGTAATTCATATTTTTAACTACAGCTTTAATCAATTTACAAAATTATTTCAAAATCCTGTAATTGCCCCATGAAAGATTACGAGCCTAGGTAGCCTAAGGGAAATGACAAAATATGTTTTGTAACTTTTAAGTAAAACATTATTACCAGCTTTAAGTATTTCTCTACCAACTGCCAACTCTCCTGCTTGGCCTTTGCATAATTCCAACAGTGTTGATATGGACAGCTGACTGGTACGGCTAAAAATGAAAGGAAGTCAACATTAACTCCAGATGTAGGATAAGACATACATTGGTATCACAGCAAAAACATAAAGTCTTTTGAGAAAGTGGAAAAATAAGTTTTCAGGAGTTATGGGTTTTATCTAGATGTTTCCCTAAAGCCTCATTCGGCCATAGGTGGGGCTTCTCAGAGATATGGACCCAAGAGTGTGATGCTGGGATTAAGAGTGTGTGATTACTAAATTAGTCCACTGAGTGCTTCGGCATAGTTCTGGGTGTGGATAGCAGGAAGGCTCAGCTTGGTTGTGCTACCCACTTTAAGGGTGCGTAGCCTGCATGGAGTACACAGGACAGAAGGAAGACTGCTGTTAGCGCTTGCTGCATTGCTTTAATGTCTTCTGCTCACCATGAACTGTTTCTCCTTGGTGATGCCTCCCTGCCATGCCACCCTGAGTTGGAGCTATCAACTATGAACTGACACCTCTACAAACTATGTTACAAAAAACCCTTCCTTTTACCTTTGTCTCAGCAATGAGAATTACTTTTTCACAGCTTAAGAACATTATGAATAATATTTATTATAAAGTAATATAATAAATTTATCTCATTGGGTGTTAAAACACAGAATCTTCTAAACTGGTTCTTGAGAAGTAATGATTTAAATATCAAATCAGATAAATGTTATCTCATTAAAATTAAAAAGCAGATCCTGATGTTATTGCTGAACTTTTAGTAAAAATCTTCTGAATTTAAAATAAAATTTTGTCATCCAAAATACTTAGATTCTCTTAACTTCTTCACAATGAATTCCAAATATCATAAAATCTCTTTACAGTGTTTCTTACAGTTTCAATCATTCAAGCCATTGGTTAAACCATCTAAATTTGGAATTTCAGAAAGTGAGTGATACAACTAATGCCATAAAAACACTTAAGTTTTCAGAAAATTACCTATTCTATAACTGAAAAGTGACACGATTTTTCCTATACATTTCATAAACTGTTGCCAGTATTTTCTCAATATAACTAGAAAACCTCCAATATACAGGTAAAGAAAAAATACAGAGGCAAAAAATAGGATTCATGAGATCAGGAACTAGTTAAAGCTAGGTGTGTTTTCGAAGCCTTTGTAAAGTAACTCTTTTTTTGTTTTTTGTTTTTTTTTGGTCTTTTTCATTTTTATCGGTACCAGGGATCGAACTCACGACTGCCTGCTTGCAAGGCAGGCGCTTATGCCGCTGAGCTAAATCCCCAGCCCCTGTAAAGTAACTCTTATGGCTTAGGGAGGGAAAAAATGATTGGCTTAAGAGAGCTCAGAATAATAGCAAAGACTCACTGTTTCTTGCCAAGAAAGATCTGCTGAAATGTTAAGAGACAGGGATTACTAAACAACTATTAACTATAGATATGCTTATTAAATGTAAAATGATCTTTTCGTCCTTCTTTATGGAATGAGATCAAAAGAGAACCACTGGTCTAACAAAAGTGTGGTTTGTGCTATATCTTTTATTTCACTACTTCATATTATCTTCCCCAGTTAAGACTATAACTGTTTTGTATCAATTTTAAGGGCATTACAGGATAGGAAAACTTTAAAGAAGTTTAAAAATGTCACATTTAGAGTAAAACTGAGAACACTGAGAATTGGGTTCTTTTTGATAATAAGGCCTAAGCAGATGTAATAGATGTTGTGATGTTGAAATTATATCTTAAGGATATTTAGCTGTTGTTCGTATCTACTGGACTTTAGAAAGTGCGTTTTTTAAGAGAATCAAGTACCATATAATTATGTGTTCTTCCTTGCAGTTAGTGAGTCTGATGTTTACTTGGCATTAGTTCCTTTCCCTAGTCCTTAAGTTCTCAAAGTTCTGTATTTTAATTTCGAATCTCGTATGAGAAAAAAATAAAGACAAATTTAATAAAAGGTATGAACTAGATGTGAGGTTTTGTGCTAGAACTTTTAATGTAAGATGGTTTGAAGTAGTGTATCAATAAGGCCTTACCTATTGGCATCTGCACATTTAACTAGGATGGTATCTACAACTGGCCGGAGAAGTCTCTGAAGTTTGATTCTTTCTGCTAAACTGTGGCAAGGAGTATATACCAGCATGGCTCTCAATGTTTTCTGAGGGGAAAAAACTGAAGGTCAGTTTAATTACCTTTAAAAAGCATTAGAGGCAATTTCCAACCAGAGACAATGCAAACAATCAAAAATAATGATAAGAATGGATTATAATCTAAAGTAGTATTAATCATAGTGGTATTTAAGAAACAATGATAAGTGGGTATATATTCAATGTTCTTATAATGTTCTAGGCATTTTAATTGGACGTTCATACAGTATTATTTCAAAACTAACAGGTAAGTATCATTATTTTGTAAATCAGTAAATTAAAGTTTAACACCAGTTAAGTAATTTTGTTAAAATCACACTGCAAAAATGTGAAACCTAGAATTTGAATCTGGTTCATCTAACCCACTATTTACTCAATTTGCCTAGACTACTCCTAGTTTAGTACATTATTCCAGTTGGAATACTTGATAAATTATGAGATCACTCAATTCTGACTCTAAACCTATATTTATAACCTTTCTGCATTTTTTTCCGCAGGAAGATTCATTAGGCAAAACTGCTAGTTGAGTAGATTTGAAAAAAAGACAGTGAGAGGTAGCTTGTTGACTCAGTTTTTAAAGCAGTGATTTTGAACTGGGGCAATTGTGAGGTTCAGGGGTCATTTGGCAATGTCTACAGACATTCTTGCTGTCATGACTTCAGAATAAGTGGGTAGAGGGATGCAGGGGTGGTTGGGAATAGTATCTAATAGAAGCCACAGATGCTGCTAAACATCTTATTAAAGCACACAGAACAGCATCCCTAGCGGCTCGCAATCCCCTAACAAGTCATTTCTGGGCTATCACAGTAGTGCTAAAGTTGCCAACAATGGACTAAAGAGATACACATTCAGACTGGTGAGGTCTAATTAGTCTCCAAAATTACCTCTTTGCCGTTTTCTCCCACTCATGAGAAACAACCTCCCACAAATTAATTTGGAAAAACAACTCAGTGTCTATGTCATGTACCCTCCTCCATACAATATTTATTAAAAATCAAGCAAAATGTTTACTAAAAATAAATCCTCAGTGTCTGACATCAAATTTTAGAAAATCAAACAACTGATCACTTTTCTAACCCATAAAACATTTTTAGTTTGGTCATACGTAAGGTACTTTTCAAGGAAATACATGACTAGTATCACACTGCTACTCGAGGGAAGTAAATAATATATAGGAAAACGAACAGATGAAAGTCAGTAAAATTGAAATGATTAAATGGAAAACTGCAATTTTCTGAGATTATGGAATGAGAATAAAATTTGGACTTTCCAAAATTACAGCTTTATTATATCTTAAAAATACTATCAACAAAACATAAAAAAGAAACCGCATAATGATATGGCTAATGGAATAAAGCTACTTACTAAAGCAGCAACGTATACTTTGTAGACAGGGTCAGCACAGACCATTGATAAGACACTGCAGCATGCCTCCACCACGTCTCCTGAGATGCTGGTCTGGGAGGACCCACTGGTGGCTCCAGCACTTGGGCTGCTTGCACCACTGCCCCCAGAGTTTCCAGTGCTCTCCCCATTTGCCAACAGCAAGGCCCCACTAACATCGTGGGAAAGACGCCTGAGAGCCATCTCTCTTACATTCCAGTTTCTAGAAAATAAGCAGCCAACGAGTTCCATTCCAAACACCTACAGCAAACAAATACAATGAGAAGAAAAATTAATAAATCCAGAGTATATTGAGCACAATGTTTAATTATTATAGAAAAACCAGTCATTTAGTTTTACTACTTGATTTCAAGTATGTTCAGTCACTTAAAAATCATCAGCAGGAATTTTACATATAAGTCTGGTAAATACCAAATGTTATTAACATTTATTATCTCAAGGAAAATTAAGAGTAAACTCCACTAACTAGATGGCAATCTATACATTTTTTATATCTGTGTCCCTCATTTTTGCCGAAAACAACCATTCAACCCAGAAACAACTGTGAAGAACTCCTATTTATATCAGGGTAGTTTACTGAGAAAAAACTGGGCCAAGATTTCAAAAACAGCCAAGTCAAAAAAGGCATGAGTGTGGAGGCTTCCAAATGTATTGAAAACACCTGGTGTGGTGGCAGATGCCTAAATCCTATATCAGGAAGCTGAGGACTATCAAGAGTTAGAGGCTACACAGTGAGTTCAAGGTTAACCTGGACAGTGAGACCTTGTCTCAAAAACAAACAATGACAAAAGAAAAACAAACTGTTCTGGTTAAAAAGAGTAGTGAGTCATCAGGCAATTGATACTGACAAGCTCTAGCTTGTGCTTTGACTACCAAAAAATGATGACTGAGACAAAACTTTCATATCAAAATGCACTGAGTACTAAACTCAGTAAATTTCAAAGCAGTCGAAAACCAAGGTCTGAATATATAGTCCAGTCTACACTGTAGGTTAAGCAGACAAACTCTGTCCTTCAAAGAAGGGTATCTAGTGGCTAAAAATCAACTTGACAGTTCTCTGAGGGCTCCTGAACGAGCAGGTGAGGACTTACGTTAGGTAATTAATGACTGAGATAAAAGAATTAAGATATGCTTATTAGTTTTATAGATTCTATTAGATTCTTAATGGGTTATTAACATACCAAGAAGAGAAAACCTCAAAGCTATAGGGTTATAATGGTGGAATCAAATTCTAATGATACAAAAGTTTAATGAACATCTGTTGACAAATAGTATTCAACTGATTTAACAGATTATTAAAAATAATTATTTTTCTTCATTATTGTCTACTGGAGACACTGTTTGGTTTTGGATCTTACAATGTTAAGGCAGCAAAATATTGATATCAAAAATAAAAAATTTGAATAGACTAAAAGTCATAGAGGTAAGCAAAAGTATTTTCTTAAATTGTAAAAAATTTAAGGAAAGGGACAGACACATTAACTGGTCTACAAATGTCTGACAGGTGAAGAACAAAGAGCTACTTACCTGAATCCATGGCTCAGCTAAATCTTTATATGCAGGAGGGATCTGCTGAGCTCCATAATGAGTAAGATTAAAGTTGCTTTCTTGATTTCTTCTCTGTGATCCAGCTAGAGGCTGCTGCTGTGTGGTTTGCTGCTGTGCAGCTCTCAGGGAAGATGGGGAATCTACAGGGCTTGACAACTCGTGACTATGAAAAATAACAAAACTTGCTAAGAAATGTCAACAGATTTAAACCACACTTGAAGAATATCTTTATTTTTTATTAAACACATAAGTTATTAATTCAAAACAACTACCTGTAGAAATCATGGGATCTCCACTTAGACCTACAAAGAGGACATATTAAAGGTTCTCTGTTTCTTCTACATTCTTCTGCCCCTGTAAAATTAAAGAAAAAAATCTTACAAAATTGTAAATGTTTAACATTAAACACAAATATGTCATAATTGCTTGCAATGGTTAGCATTTACATGGAAGAACCTTAAACAATAATTTGATATTTATCTGAAAGCAGACAAACTGTATGTTCAGTTTTTCTGCCTGTACTTTTTTCAATCGATACTGTATTTTATTGGTTATAAGATGCACTTTACTATCTGTTTAAGTGTTCTTTCCCACCTGATTACCTAGTAAGGTCACTTCCAGGCTTGCTTTGCTGCTCCCCTCTCTGTAAAGCTTTGCACAGGTGTTCACCTCCTCGCCATGAATACATCCAGGCAGGAAGTCTTTCTAACTTTGTGTGTTCCTTTCATTTCCATGTGAATCATACTAAGCTATATTGTCTTTGCTCACACAGAGCATCTCCTAATAGATCCCAAACTCCAATTTGTTGAAAACATATGGCTTACACAACAGACTTGTCCCCTGCTCTCACCAATATCCTCACAAACCATGCTACAACTCTTCCTCCAAAACAAACAAACAAACAAACAGGCATGGAGCAACTATATTGAATAGCACAGGGCAAAAAGGAGCCACCTACAGATGGACATGCAGTGGTGGTGCAGCTTGTTCCTGCAGCCATCTTCACACACTGTAAGACTTTCTTCATCAAGCATACCCAGTAAGCATATAGGACACATCTGTTCCTCTTCATCTTTTATGCTACAAGAAAGGAAAGGCAAAGTACTAAATAAAAAGAGAACATAAAACAGAATACCATATGCTAATTAGAATTACAAAGTTTCTTTAGAATATGAATACATTAAGTAGAAATTCTTGTTTAAGAAGATCTTCAAGCAACTGTTTGAGGAGTATTTCTCTTAATATATAGTAATTTCAAATCAGATTCACATACATGTGTATTTATAGGTTGTGCATCTAAGTTAATCTGTTCTTACTATGAATACAATGCAAAGCATGAACTGAAATCTACAAAAAAGCATATGTATCCCTAAAAGTGTGTCACTGTATCTTTTGAATAAGGTGTGAGTTATGGATGAGCACACTGTGTGGCACCAGTTTCAAGATTTCACCTACTGGGAACTTAGAATTCAATTATTCCACATCCTAAATTTGGATTGGTGGCAGTACAAACTGGTCCAACTTTCTTAGAAACAATCTAAAACACCTAACACATTTTAAACGTGTATGACCATTCTCCAAGAATTTCTCCTAGAAATAGATAAAAATAAAATTATATGAATGTGAATGTTTGCTGAAGTTTATTTTATATAATGAAAAAAATAAAAAATACCAAATGTACATCAGAAGGTAACTTAAAAATTATGGTACACTAGAACTAGGAATCTTGGGAAAGGAATGAAGAGATCCATAATGATGTTCACAAAATATTATAAGGTGAAAAAACCCACAAATAACATGCTAGATTCCTAATAAGTACAAAATGATCCCACTTATGACACAATATGACAACTGCAATAGAAAGGGGGCAATTTTATTGTACATATTTGAAAATTCTTGATATAAAAGGTGCATCTCAAAACTCATAAAAATACAAATAATTCAATAGGAAATGGACAAGAGGAAAAAGACAAATTAAAAAAAAATAATAGCTAATAAACATGAAAATAGGTTATTAAATTAATGAAACCAGTGCTTGCTTTAGCAACACATATACTAAATTAATGAAATCACCCCTATTTTGGAGGAGGTACATTCTGATTTGCAAAAACTAAACAGTGTAGTTAATGCAACCCTGATGAGGTAGAAAAACAAGTTTTCTCATATATTTGTGATGGGAACAGAACCTCAAATTTCTAGAAGGTAATTTTGTTAGTAATCTTTAAAATACTAAATGCATAGACCCATGACCAAAATATTCTACTTTCTAGGCTGCTATCTTACAGAAATATAAATATGCAAACAAAAATAGAAAAAAATTATTGCATTTAATAGACAAACAAAAAACTAAAGGTACACTTAGTATCCATTAAGTAAGGCAATGGCAAAGCTGTGGTATATCAATAATCTTATACAGCCATTAAAAAAAAAAGAGGTATGTGTGTTTGTACTGACTTGGGAAAATGCTATTGATGTATAAAGTAAAAATAAAAGCAAGTTGCACTAGATTTCTAGAAGGCTGAGGCAGAAAGAAAGTCTGACGCTTGTCTGGTCAACTTGACAACTTAGTGAGATTGTCTCAAAATTAAAAATGAAAAAAGAGCTGGGGGTGTAGCTCAGTGCAAAGGCTCTGTGTTCAGTCCCTTGTGCCGCAAAAAAGCAAGCTGTAGAAGGTAGCATGACTTTATATTTGTTTAAAAAAGATGAGAAGTATTTGTGGGTGTGCTTAAGTACGATATGCAAGAAGATTTTTATTTCCTTGTTTTCATAATTTTATGTAACTTTTAAAAGCTACATTACACTGTTAACAACAGTTATTTTTGTAGTCAGACTAGAGATTATACTTTTCTATTTTATAAGTGTTTCTGTTTGAACTTGTTTTTAGAATTAATAATATTCCATTTCAACCTAAACACAAGGCCCCTTGAGAGTTGCTCAAAGTCATAAAGTCAGTCTGTGACAGACCTATCATTAGACTTTTACTTGAGAAGAATATGGCATAGCCTACCTACTCTTGCAAAATGAAAAGTCTCTGCTAAGTTGAGGCTTTCTCCTAGGTCCACTACTGTACTTCTATGAATTGAAGCCATAATTTTGAAAGATAGGGCTGAGTAATTAACACCAAAATAACCAATTCCTCAAGTGCACAGGAAACTTCCCAAAAGCTGAACAGGCCAGCAAAGTCATGTAACTGTGAGGCAAAAGGATGCTCACTAATCTCTTTTCATTCCTATTAACCTGCTCCACCTGAGTTCATCATTGTGCATTTACTACAAGTGCAGAAAAGCTGTGAAAGTAAGTGTGCATTAGGATCAAAATGATTAATAGCAACATTACAGAAATAACTGACATAACAATGTATAAAAATATCAATGACAAAATATCCAAGGTCAACCAATTTTTTTCAAATAGAATTACACCAAAATTAGCTTAAAAGACAAAAAACATAGTCCCATAGTTTAGTCAAATTGCAAGTGCAATTAATTATTTATGTGGTCAGTGTGTTTTGAGACAGGGTCTTGCAATGTAATTAAGGTTTGCCTTGAACTCACTATATCCGTCAGGTTAGCCTCGAACAGTGATCTTCCTGCCTCAGTCTCCTGAATGCTGAGATTATAGATGTGTTACGTGTTTATTATTTATATGCTTTTTTGACAAATGTATGTATATATATCATACTGAGTCCCATGTTTTTTCCATCTACATATTTTATAACATCATTCAGATGGTTTCACACTGAAAAAAATTTTATTATAAAATTCTGTCATTAAATGCTTCATATAACATTTTTTTCTTTTGCAGTAGTATATATAACATACAATTTACAATCATAATCATTTTTAAGAGTACGATTTAGTAATTCAATACATTCACTTTGTACAACCATCACTACCACTATTCTCCAGAATTCTTTTTCATCTTGTGAAACTAAAATGATTTAACCATTAAATAGTAAAGCCCATCTTCTCCTTGCCCTCTGGCAATACCATTCTACATTTTGTCTCTGTGACTTTGACTAAATATCTGACTAGAATCATGTAGTATTTGTCTTTTTGTGTCTGCCTTATTTCAATGAGCCTAATGTCCTCAGAGCTCATTCACGTTTATCATATATCAGAATTTCCTTTCTCTTTATGGCTGAATAACATTCTATTTTATGTATTTCATAGTTTATCCTTTGATGGACACTTGGGTTACTTTTACCACTCAGTATGTGATTTTTAATGTAAGTATACTTTTCCACTGACTAGTATTCACTTAATGTTGCTATTTGACCTGTTTTCTTATTTTTACATTTTGCAACACCACTATAAACAGCTTTGTACAGCTCTTTTGACACTTCAGATTTTCATTCTGGTAGTTTGTTTCAGAAGTAAAAATCTCTCGAGTACAGACACTAGCAGACTGCAAAGGGAACAACTGATTTTGTACCCCACTTTTGTAAAGAAAGTGTTACTGAAACCCAATCATTGTTGTTCATTTACATGTTATCTATTTACTAACTTTTGGTAAGTATAGAGCAACACTACATTTAAGTGAAGTCACATTCACAGCATGGGCATACTTTATTCTTTTGCTGTTAGTTTAAGCTGTTCCCAATGTTTCTCCATGTAAAGGGTGATCAAAAAAGATGTTTAAGAAAAAACTAACAAATCTATAAATAAAAACGGTAACTTTTTTAAAAAATGAGCTTTTTTTTGCCTTTATTAGATTAACTAAACATGTTTGTTAGCACCTTAAAATTCTTTGTGAAAATTCTCTTCATTCTTTTTGTTCATTTATATACTGAGATCCTAGGTTCCTCTTTCCATTTTTTCCCCCTAAAGTTCTGTTAATTATTTTTAAGTGTTTTCAGTTTGTTCTAATTCTATTTTTTATTGTTTCTGAAATGCTGAAAATTTTTATGTGATCAGATCTCTAGCTAAATGTCCTTTGTGTTTGCTTGACTTTAGCCTTTAGACATAAAAATATGTGATAATATGAAACAAAAATCTTCATGGTATAATATCAATTTATCACAATTTAACTTTGTGATTTTTCCCCCATGGGTATATCAGCCCAGACACATACTAAAATAACCTCAAATTATGGCCAATTCATATTAGAAGTTATCCTTTATCTTGAAACTCTGTCTTAATTTTGGCTCTCTTGTTTTAAACATTTGTTATTTTTCTTCAAAGTATCAATCCAAAGGAGAATGGCCTAAGTTTAAGACAGGATGTTTGAGAAATAAAGCTTGATTTAAAAAAATTCTATTTAAAAGACATTAAGGCTAAGAAAAAGAGCCCTGGAAGAGGGGAGTCAAGATACACAGGTTCTGGTCATGCCCTTGGTCAGTATCTTCTGGCCTCACTCACTGTCGACCTGAGTAAACTATCTCTCCCCCTCACAGGGCCTCTGTCATGTATTATCACTTCAGCATTCTTCAGCAATCCTGAGGCAGTTACAATGCTTAGATGGCTGATGGGATGAAGATGGATTTAACTAGTCAGACCAGTGCTTCGCAAAGGAGTCCCTTGGAAACATGCAGGAGGGACCCTCTCTACTTTTTGCAGTAATTATTAAAACTAACAAAATAATCACAGAATAGAAAGAAAACTCACATGAATTATTATAATACTACAGACTTGGAAAATTTACACATTTGTCATTTTGGGCTACATGTTCATCTTATCAGCAACTAGGAAATGGAAACTTTTGAGAAGCACTGTAGCTTTTAAACAGTAACTGTAATTAACAGCTACTGTACTTCTTAATTAAAATGGTTAGTCTATCAATTTGGAATATGTGCACAGTTTCACAGGTAAAATACTATACAAAGAATTTTGAAAATATGAAAGAAATAGTGAGATTATATAATTTAAAACAATGGCTTATATACAATTTATCTACAAATATTTCCTTCCATCATGCAGCACCCTAGCTCCACTATCTGTTCAACAGTGATGAAACCTACCTTGACTGTTAGAAGAACTGAATGGGACAACATATAAGGCACTTGGCATAAAATAACAACAAGTAGACAGTTGGTGCTTCCTTTACCTCTGCAACCTGATTTTTGTTTACTAATGTGTCATTTTGCAACGTTGTAAGCTCTATACTGCAGGCTCTGGGATAAAATATCTTCAGATGACCTTTAACATTCTTTACATTTTAACATGAAAGCCAAGATTCAATAATTAAATCATTTTACAGCACCTTAGCAAGTATATGAAAATTAAAAAGTAACAGTAGTTAATGTTTAACTCCTTAAAAAGTACTAACCTGTTTTCTGAACTAGATGTAGAAGTACTAGATGATGACAATGTATGAGGATTTGACATGCGTGAAACAAACTTCTGGATGGTGTTACGAGATGGAGCTTTGATTCTCGAGCTACGCCTACTGTGGTATTTCTGGAACAAACTCTCAACCTGACATTGGAAAAAGACAGTAATAATAATATTTGTGCCAAAATTATGCATATGAAGAGTTCTAGCGGTTGAATTATTCATCTTGTGTCTGCAAGTTTTTCATAAAGCTGATTTAAGAGCTTCAAAAACAAGAACATATCAAAATTATCACCATTTTTATTTAGTGCTCATGAAAGAATTTCAGCAAGCTACTATAAAAATTTCTTGACAATTTTACTTTAAAGTATTTATTTTAAAAAATCACCTCAAAATTCTTTAAAGTCTTTCTCCACAACATTGGGTCTGAAGGTTCTAGCTGAAACACCCGGAGCATAACAAATAACAGATGAATACAAAATGTTCCACGGCCACAGCTGCAGTTCTGAAGAATTAAAAGAAAACCCGTGACTTAATAAATCTGTGGTTCTATTAGAATTTCTAACTTTATCACATTTTAATATTTTGAAGTATATTTATCTATTACTACATATTCTTCATTCTCCTCACCTATAAAAATGTCTACAAATACTTTTATGAATTAATTTTTGAAGGTATTCAGTTACACTGAAAACCTTAAATACATTTAAAAAATGTTTATGAGCCAAAAATACATTTTAAACTCACTTTTATTTTCACTAAAGTTAATTAGCTGATCTCAGTTTAAGAACCTTTACAGTATGTAACTCTGAGTTAGTAAGATGGATTAATAGAATACAGTACAGTGATGAGCACTACCTGTGGCCCAATAAACACCCGGTACTTATTGTCTGGGCTATCTCCCCCGATCAGGAAGGAGTTGGGTCCTATCTGCTGCAGTAAGTACAGTCTCGCCCGCATCACTTTGTTCACACGGCGGCTTGTTTCCTCAGGGCTGTACGGTGAGAAGCCATCTGGCGAAGGAGCTCTCCGGGGTGGTGTGATTCTGCCGCTCTGAAACTTCACAACAGGTATTTCATTAGGTAAGGGTCTTGCTTCGCCATAAGGAATAAATATAATAGGAATATAATATATAAGGAACGAATAATAATAGTAATAATAAAAGGTTATGCCAGACAGCCATGTGGCAGATTATATGCTGAAAAAAATGCCTCAATGAAACAAACTCAGTTAAAATACTGTTGTCTGCTATATTCATCTCAGGCAAACTTAAAAATCTCAGTTATTCTTCTAATTATGATAAATCTCTTGTTGATACAGACAACCATACGGTCATTTTACAAATTATTCTACAAATGTTTGAGGTGTTTTTAAAAAGTATTGTATTAACCAAAATTAAAAACATATAACAAGTCAACATCACAAGCAGGTAGCATGACTGTATCTAGTGGTAAAAAAAATAAATATATAGTCTTGGCTTCTATTTAATGTTTTATTAAATACCTTCTGTAACTGTCACTATAATCATTACCATGCAACTCCTTTCAAGGTACACTATATGTACAGACTCTTCTTTGATTAAAATATCTCAATGGAGAGGCAAAACCTCTTGTAGTTTTATTATCTCTATCATTTTTATTATGCTTTACTGATTTTAATAGAGCTTGGTCGTTCCCTCAATATTCTGTGGAATTCTGGTTGTTTGGAATGCCTCACTGAATAGTTAAAAATAATAAATGTTGGCAAGAATATGAAGCAAAGGGAACTTTCTGGTGGTGTGTAAAATGCTTTGAGAAACACTGTAGTAGTTCCTCAAAATGTAAAACATATCACCGAGGAATTCTACTGCTAAGAATAAACCCAAGAGAAATGAAAACAGGTTCAACAGCCAAAAAGAAGAAACAGCCCAACTGATATAAAGTGTGGATCACATCCATAACAAAAAGTATTATTCTACAGTTGAAAATGAAGATGTATACTGTAGTGTGAACCTTGAAAACATACTACAAAGAGAAAGAAGCCAGTCACAAAAGACTGCCCATAAATTTACATGAACTGTCCAGAACAGGCAAATACATAGAGAAAAAACAAACAACAACAACAAAAACAAAAAAAAGATTAGTGATTGCTAGGGCTGGGGATACTGCTGTTAAAAAGTAAACTTCAAACAGAACAAATTTAGTTTATTTGAGCAAAGAATGATTCATCAATAACGCAGCACTCAAAACCATAAGGTCAGTGAGCTCTAATTTAGTAGTATGAACTGCCATCTTTCATAGGTTGAAAATACAGTTAAAAAAAAAAAAACGCTGAAATGAGGATTTTGCTTTATCTGGGCATGTGTGATAGGTGGTCCCTACTTACATACCTAATTGGCTGTTTGTGACTGGCCAAAACTCAGTTTGGTTTCCAGGTATAGAAACAACTTCAGGCTAATGACCTTCTGCTTATTTTGCTTTAAAAGTAGAGTTGCTGGGGCTGTGTGTATGAGAAAATGCAATTCTATTTATACTTCTGGTACACTTTTACTCTGATGGCCTCCTGAACCACCTCCCAGTATTTATAGACTTGAGTGTCCCTTTCTACTTCACACAACTGGATTTACGCCATCTAACTGGCTTTGGGCAATGAGGATTAGCACATGTGATGTCAATGGAGGTTTATGTTGGGACTTGCCCCTTTCAGACACTTCTGTTGAACTCCAACCTCTGTGCTATCAGGAAGAGATGCCATCAGGTCCCGACTGTTCTCATAGTCTAGGTGAAACTATGCACATGAGTGAAAAAGCAGCAATGGATATTCTAGCATCAGCAGACGCCATGGGAAGCAAAAATCAGCTGCCACTGCTGAGCCCCATCCAGTCTACAAATTCATGAGCTATGATGGTTACTAGTTAGAAATAAAAAAAAAATAAGCCTTTTGAAGGATTTACGTCCTTTGACAACTCCAGACTTGAGGAAAACCAAAGTTCCCCTTGTATCACCATTTCTACAGCTTTCCCATTTATTCACTGGCTCTTCAATGTGATGAAGTGTTTTAACAAGCACTTCTACCTTTAGAAATCTCAGGATACTACCACTCATCTTTTTGTAGATTTCTTTGATGTGTGGGTTAGTATAGAAAACAGCTGAATGTTACAAGGGCAAGTGTTCAGTAAGATTTGAAACAATATAAAACTTTGGGCTTTGGGCAATGAGGATTAGCACATGTAATGTCAAACTTAATATAAAAATTCATCAGTATTTCTTTGTCAAAAGTGTTCTTTTCCTTTTTGTCTCACTACGAAGTTCAGGTTGGTCTTGAACTTATTTTGTAATTCAGGCTGGCCTTGAATTTGTTGCAGTGACCCTCCTGTCTCGTCTCCTGTCTCGTCTCCTAAGTGCTGGGATTACAAGTGTGCACTACCATGCCTGGAAAAGCACCCTTAAATGAAAATAATTTGTCTTTTTCTTTCCTTTTCCTTTAATGGCTAACATACAGCAACAAAGATTACAAATTCTACTGCAATAGTCTTATTTTAGATGAAAGCACTAGCCGCTTTGCCACCACTGAAATTATCAATGCAATGAAAGATGAACTGATATATCAGTTTTATTACAAAACTAGGTTGACTTAAGGGCTCCTAGAAAGGATCTCATGAACCAGTCAACCCCCTTTTTTCTCACCCTATACATTTAGACCAGTGGTGGCAGATCTATGGCAATCGTATCAGAGCCACCTGCTTATTAGTTTGAAAGTTCTCAACAGTTTGCTACTACTGACAGATCATCCTTTGAAAATCATTGCTTTAGCAGATGGCCAAGCAATCTTTTGTATCATATGAGTCAAAAATGACACAAATAACATACTGGTCCAAGCATTAACTTACGGGTACTGGGGAAACTCTCTTTCTCCTTACTCCTGGAGATTCTGATTTCACTGTGCGACCTGACGGGGAGTTCCCAGGAGATGGGCTCCGCCGGCCTTTGGGGGCTGCAGAAGCAGTGCTGGCCAGGCTGTCTCCTTGACACTCGGTTGCCAAGCTGCTCATTTCAGGTCCATCTCCTTTGATAGGGATTGGCTTTACCACCTGAATAAAAAGTATTCCAGATTTTTGAGTAGTTAAAAATATAAAAGATAAACAATTAATTGTACATCACAGATCAGAATAACTTAATGAGTTATTATTAAATGCTAAATAAATATACCAAACAATGTTTCATTTGGTATTACTTCTAAGCCATTAATGTTAAAAACTATTTTTTATCTAATAAATATCAAAGTTAATTACTAGTTAAAAATGATCCCATACAAAATTTTAGACATATCTCTTAGTTCATTTAATATTCAAAATCAACAAAAGTTATTAAACAAATGTGAAAAATAAGTACTTTTAACTTCAACAGTTAATTCATTCAATGATATTGAAAATCTCCTATTTTTCTGAAAAATGCAGGGCCTTGAAAATATTGAGAATAATTTTAAATAATCAAGTAGTCTGACGAATGTAAAACTATGTTGCTATTTCTTTAAACAATGTTATTTCAGAACAGTTTAGACATGCATCTCAGACAGCTAAAAGAAGCTACATGTTTAACACCAATCTCTCAAGAATACATGCAGTTAGTTTATAAGATCTGTCTTTTTTTTTAAAACATAACATTAGGATTTTCAGACTGAATTCTGCCATGAACCAAAGAAGGCCAAACTCTGCAGCCTTAGTATGGGTGAAACTCAGCAGACCTTTCTGTCCCATGGCCACTTGATATGTCACCAACTCTGTCTGATCTTTCTGCACCCTGTGCCGCGCTATTCTCCCTTTAGTCCCCGTGGACACTACAGTAGCCAAAAAAGCAGGTATGCAAACGACAATCAGATTTACTTTGCAGCATGCTGTGGGCTAAAATGAGAATCTGTGGGTAGGATATATATAGCAAACTGCAGTTTAGCTTGCAGTGGTATTCAAAGCCGCAGTGGCTATGAGCTCAAAGACTAAGTGGATCCTTAAACAGAGAAAAGGCTGTGCCAGACTTCTAATGGCAGAGTTGATGGGAATGTTGTCACTGTATTGTCCTAAAGGCAGCCACTAGCCACAAATGGTTATTGGAGTTTGAAATGCAGCTAGTGCAACTGAGGAGCTAAATTTTTACTTTATCTAATTTAAATTTAAACAAATAGGTACATGGGATGAATGCAGAGTTAGATGATCTTTTTGCAAGGGTATACTTTATGCCCTTGTCAAAGTTCAAATCCTATGCTGCCATCCCTGCTGTGAAAGAAAAAAACAAAGTAATGTGCTACTATGAGGTAGTACTTGTGGAAAGGAACATAGCATTTCTACCTTTCTTAGCACAGGAATCTAATCTAGGGTTTCTTTTGGCAAATCTCATAAAATTTTCATTTATCTTAAACAGCATGGTTCTATTTATTTTTTCACTTTCATGGAAGATCTTTGGAATTAAGATTCTTGGACTCTATCTTACAGATTAGAACATCTAAAACAAATTGGAAAAATGGCTTTTTTTTTTTAGAACTTAAAAGAACAGTATAAAACTTTTAATAAAAGGATTTTAGATACTGACAGTAGGGGGCAGTGTGGCTTCAAGCATTTAGCTTTCTACCAAATATCTAAATTTCTATAATTAAACTGCTTACTGAGCATGGTTTTAATTGATTTGTTTCAAGTGGGTAGAATAGCTAAAATAAGGAAGAAGAAAAGGTACAAAGCAATCTAATTATGCTTAGTTTTTCATTTGTCCCTACGCTTTCTTCCTTGGAGAGGTAACCCCAGCCACTCACCACAGGGCCTCTCCTGTTTCGCCTTTCCAACCACTCATGCTTCCAAGCTGGCATACATGTTGCCTTTAGTTTCTCCCTGATCATTCGTTCTTCCGGGCGGTCGTCCATCTTGTGCAACCCTTTAAGAGTTTCTTTACTCTCCATCTCACGACTAAAATGGAGGCAGAAATAAGGAAAATGAGAGATTTATATACAAGAAATAATTTTTAAGAAGAAATAGAACAATATGGTTGTTTCACACTTCCAACAGAAACTCCAAATGATTTAAGCATGGCATGAAAAACATTGTAAAGTACAAATGTTTTGTTGAACTAAGTAGGTAGTGCTGAATGTTGCTGGTAAGATGAGTTATAAAAGAAAGGTTCTATTTAGAAGTTGCAGGCTTCTTCATGCTATGAATGCAGATTTTAGGACAGTTCCTAAAGGACAGTTCCTAAGATAGATCTCAAGCATTAAATACTACATTAAGAAATACATTCAACAATAAGACTGAAGTTTCTAATTCTACCACCCTAACATACATATACAACAGACAAATACTGATAAGCCTTTAATACCCTTTATCCTAGAATTTCTAACAATTTATGTCAATACAGTTACAATCTAGCAACTATACTCATTTTGTAAAAATGAACCAAATAAGTATTTCATAATCTAGGTGAAATTTAACTAGCTCTTTTATGATCCTGAAATAATTTTTCAAAGCTTAAATAATTAAATTTGTTTTCTTGGAACGAATTTGTAATAAAGCACTTACAAAGTCTAAATGTAAAACACCATTCTCAGGAAAATCACTAATCTCAAAATATACTACTATCAATACATACACGCATATATACACACTTACACACAGCACACCATTTCAAACCTGATTTATAAGGAAACAAGTTCAAGCAACTGCACTCTCAGAGAACTATTTTTTAAATACTTAGCTAACTTTAGTAATTTGGGAAGTCTATAAAGCTACAGAACAGTGATTTTTCTATATTGATAGGAAAAGGAACTATTAAAGGAAATAACAGAGATAACTTCAAGTTTACTACGAAGTCAAATTCAAACTACCCTAGGAATTTTTCAGTTAAATCTTATCTTCAGAGAACCAGCAAAAAAAATCAAATTAAAATAGGCATAGAAAGGGAATGCTTAAGTGGTTTCAATGAAGCATGAATACTGTGGGGAAATGCAAGTGCTCAAAGGTTTGCCATCAGTGGAGATAGTTTTAGGAACACAAAGAGTACAAAACATTTGACCTGAGTCTTGCAAATAGGCATTAAAATCATACAGTAAAATATTACTGCTACACAGAAAATCTGTCACATTGAAGGAATAAGAAATGGGAAACGTTTTTTAAAAAAATCCAATGGCATTTTCCCTTATGCTTTGACTAAAACCCAAAATTGGCACACTCTCAGCTCAATTCCTGGTCCAGGCCCATTCCACACCTTTCTGCGTCTTTCTTGCCTCAGGAACACCAGCATCACTCTGCAGAAGGCTTCTACTGTGTAGGCTTCTTCACTACTTTCTGCCTCATTAATTTTTAACCTACTGTTTAGGTTTCCTCAGCCTCCTCAAATGACTTTCCAGTCTCAATCAGGGATTCCCAATTCTGTTCTTTTATAGCACTTTTCCTTCAAAGTGCTCGCTTAGATTTGCAAATCATCCCTCCTCCCTGACCAACTGTAAGCTCCACGAAGACAGGGACTATGAGTCTTACCCAGCTACAGTCAACAACTCAACCTCTAAACATGTATGGCTCACAAGAGGTATTAACACATACATTAAATGAATGACAATCCACTAACATCTTTGAGAGGCCTAAGGACCTTCCTATCTTTAAATTTAATGACTGCTAAGATTTTTAACTGGATATCCCCCAGAGCCTCACACACTCAGAGCGCAGGGCTTTTTGGAAAGTGACTAGATTGTGGGGGCAGTATAGTGAACTTGCTGTGAGGAGGTAGGGGTCTGGTCATAACAGGTGGATTACTGGGGGCATGACTTGGAAGGATATATCTTTTTTGCCAGCTTCTTTCAGCCTCTGCTTCCTGGCCTGCATGAACTATGCAGCTTTTTCTCTACATGCTCCTCTACTATACCATCCTGCCAGCCAATTATGGTTTGAAATGTGAGCAGCTGAGCTGTGGGTTCTTTAAAAGTTGGAGATTTTGTACCAGGGATAAAGAAAGTGATTAAAATAATAACTACTTATGTTCTTTAGTTAATTAGAACTAAAATTATAATTTAAATATTATTCAATAGAATTCCTAAGGTAATTTGCAAATATTTGCAAGTATTTTTTCTAGTTTTTTCATATCATTAATTCTTCATTAATGTATTTTTCACATTTTAATATTAGAAATCCGACTTAAGAAATCAAATCTACTTTTGTCTTTGAAACGGAAATCAAACTGGAAAGAAAATCAAGTTTTTCTCATATATCTGTCTTGTTTTCCTATAATCCTAAAGTAATCTTCATAGATCAGAAAAGGTATGCTTTTTATTTTTATCAGACATTTGTACATATATATGTCTATATATGTGATTTGACTACTTTGGAAGCAAATACAAGCTAAGCCATCTCTGTTCCCTGCAACCTGAAGGAACCTATAGTACTGGTTCTGCACAATGCCTGGGAGACAGAAGATAGTAACACACAAAAAAACAGAATGCTGACAAGTCCACTAACATTTTAAAAGTTATTTCTTAAGTGGCTTATCTTTAGCATGGAAATATGTTAGCCAGCAACTAGCGACAGGAAGAAGTAACTGCAAGACTGTATTATAATGGAAAGGGTCAAATGTTACATGCCAGACAAGGTGTTAGGTATTCGCATGAATTAATTTACTTAACCTTTCCAACAGCCCTGTAAGGTTGGTAGCATATGAGGCTCAGAAAGACTGGATCCCATAAGCAGGATCACTTAGTTGCTAAGTGGGTAGCAGGACTAGTGTCTGAACCCCTGCTGGACTGACTGCAAACCATGTGCTCTTCGTGGCTGAGATGGGTTACACACTGCCCAATCTGACCTTAATTTTGTAACAAGTTAGTACGCTATCTGTCGTGGTATCTACTGATAATAATAAAAAAAATTTTTCACAATGGTGATGATTTTACTACCAGCATTAAAGCAGCATTTCCCTATAAAAGGTGCAACTTAGACCATAATGACTAAATAAAATCTTTCTGAAAACAAGATTTAACCTTAGAATAATGGTTTCCAGAACAGTCTAGATTCTGGCTAACTCTACAAAGGAAAATCTTGATTTTTGAGATACAAGTAAGTCTCATGGAACCTTCAAAAATACATTGGATAATCTGGACAGGAACAATTCAGAGCTACTTGTGAAGTTCTCACACCAGCAGGGATTCACATACTATCAAACTCTCAAGTTTTGTTACCAGGGAGAGAGAAAAGAAGCAAGGGAGGAACTAACTTCCAAATCAAAACTAGTCCACGATGGGACCCTAATGGAAGTTTCCAAATTATAGGGAAGAGAAAATATGACTCATACAAGACAAGATGGAGCTAATACCCCTTTATCATGGAAAGTACCATGGAGTTCAGTTCAGTTAGGGCAAGGCTCATACAATCTCACTGTATGGATAAGAAAAGTTAGGGAGATTGGTGAGAATCCATATTGTAAAAAATATAGGATTTAAAGTCAGATAGGAGTCACACACACACACACACACACACACACACACACCCAGAGTCTGAAGCCTTCTGACCTAAGGTTAGCATCTGCAAACAGGTAAACAGAAACAAAAATTTCTCTGTACTGGGACAATTCTTGTTTGTATATACATATTTTTTCTTTTTCCTGTTCTAGCACTAAAGGGGAACACAGGGATTTCACATCCCCCGCCCACTTTTTTTAAAAATTTTGAGACAGAATCTTAAGTTGTTCTGGCTCCCAAACTGTATTCCAGTAAGATTATTTCTTCACAGAGTAATACTATCATTGAGCAAGAGAGATTAAGGGTAATCCTTTCATTTTTATATAATGTAACACTAACAACATATCTACGTTTACATAAGAAATAATAATATATAAAAATGGCTCACATTAAGAAAGTTAGTTCCCAAAAGACTTTCTTCCAAGTCACTCCATAATGCTTGACCCTGAAAACTAAAGATGCCACAATTTCTACTTGTTTACAAAGAAAAAAAGGTGTACTTTTATCCTTATATGGAGTAAACATTATCTCTTTAGCACAACAAAGAAACGTGGATTTCTTTTTATGGATTTGGCCATGGTATACTATAATCAGTTTTATAACATGTTGATGCAGTATCAGAAAGGGGGCACTATTTCTATATTTTTATTAGATTTTTTTTAATTTTAAAGAGGGTAAAATTAAACACAACAAAACAGAACATAAAAAAGCAATGTAAGATACATAAATTTCAAAGCAAGACAATCAGAGATCTTCACTATCTATCGTATTGTCTCTTTTCTTCCAAATAGTTGTCCGTATCTTCACATACAGTGAATTCACATGAAACAAGATAGTACAGAACTGATCTGAACAAGATGAGGAAGCCATTTTAAGTGTTCAAGATCAGACAACAGGGAAGTCAACAATGGCTGTCACAGTGTCTCTCATTCTCTTCAAAATAGCTATCTATAGCTTCATGTATGTTGAAATTAAACAAAACCAAACAGGCTAAATATCACTTTGAACAAAGAATAATAGTATTGCTGGATTTCACATCATGATGCTACAGAATCAGCACTGGGTACTGTAGTGTCTCTTTTCTTTAAAGCAGTTGTTCATTTCATCATGTATTATCTGATCAATTCTCATAAACTACTTATAGGTTCTACACATGCATGAGTCTCAACATGTATTTCTATCCTTTCTGTATTAGAGGGAGAAACAAAACAAAGCAAGACAAAACAAAACAAATTCCTAAACATGAAATGAAAAAGTCATATAAAACCACAGTATAAGGTGTTCTACAATGGTTACTATGTTGCCGCTTGTTATCTTCAATAGAATTGGCAATATCAACAGGCATAGTATAATTGAATATAATAGTATATAACAATATTAATAAAAACAAAACATTGCTGACAGTATAAAACTTCAAAAGCAGGTAATAATCAAACCAGAGCTGGTATCCTAGTGAATCTTGGCATTTTCAGTGTAGTTGCCTATACTTTCAAACTTGATACTATCAATCATAACAGATTTGAATAAAATCTGTCAATACAAAACAGCAATCTAACAAATCAGATTCAACTAAGGTCATGATAAAACAGTGTAAGTTACACAGGGCTTCAGATTAAGTTAATAGGAAATTATGGATGATTACTGAAATATATCCTGCTATGTCTGTGCCCTCAAATCTGGTACAATAGATAAACTGGAACAGAATATAATCCATCTTAACAGAGCAGTCTGAGTAATGTGGGTTTTAAGTCCTGATACACTATTAACAATATCCTCTGCCTTCTTTTTTTAGACTATTCCTCCCCTTTCACTCCCACAGGGTGCACTGCGCATCTTGGGTCCCACCAACTCCCTCAGTTTTTAGACTGGGGGGCAACCTGCTATTTACCTAAGTGGTTCCAAACCTTCTCACTCCTGGACTTGATCTCAAGTTGTATTCCTTTACCTACAAAAGCCTCAAGGTTTTCCTTTATTATAGCAAAGTAGTTCTCTATTGTACTTAAGTATTCTGTCTTTTCAACCTATCTGCAGGTGCTGGTCGAGTTGCCCCTATTTCTCTCTGGTTCCCTGTCACACAGAGCATTGTTTTTCTCATATTTGATTTTCAATCCATAAACTCCTTTTCAGGTTAATTCTATTTCCTATACAGAGCATCTCGGTGGGCCATTATCTCCTGATCCACCCTGCCTTTCTTCTTTTCTTCTTTCTTTCTTTCTTTCTTTCTTTCTTTCTTTCTTTCTTTTTCTTTTCTTTCCTTCCTTCCTTCCTTCCTTCTTTCTTTCTTTCTTTTTTTTAGTGTATCAAGGTACCAAAACAAAAAGTACAAAATTAAGCCAAAATAGGACAATCGCACTGCAAATGCCTATTCACTAGGTAATCTAGACCAGAAAATGGTAACACACAGAATGGACATACATTGCTCTTAACCACTCGTAACTCCACCATTAAATTAGTACCTTTGGGGACAAACAAATAATTTCGAAGAACTAGAAGGTTTCCTTCCAAATTAATAATCTGCATAAGATTTGTTTAACAATCATGTAACAATATAGTAACAGAATTTTATAAGTGACAGAAGTACTAGACAGTATTCTACTTTACACAGATTTTTTTTTGCAATTACCTATGATCTAATCTAGTTTTTTTCTAGAGAAGAAAAGTGACTAAAAAGAAAGTCATTCATATTGAACTATTTAGTTCTCTCATACTCTGTGTGTGTTCTATGTTATAAATGTAGAAATATATTTAGAGCAAATGACATTGTATAGACTACTAAATATACTCTAAGAGACTACTAAATAAATTATATATTACTAGTAACTCATTATGTGCTACAAATTTTAAACACCATTAAATCTACAAAATAATGTACACATAAAAGTTGCTAATTGCAGACTAGGGTACTATTAAGAGGAATATATTATTAAGTGAAGAAAAATGTTTCAGTTTTTCTTTAATGAATTGAGTTTTACTGAATGCTACTCAAGAGTATTTTAAAATTAAAAGGTATCTTTTTTGATGACAAATATTTATAGGAATATTCAAAGGAATTTGTTAAAATTGTCTTGAAACAAAAAGTAAATCTTCTAAAATCCATGTACATACAAATACTTTGGATGTGTGTAATTAGGATTAGAAGTTATTAACACGTTTAAGATAAAACATCAAGGCTACACTTTCAATCAGATATACTCATAGGTAAGTAAATATCACTAAACTAAAAGGGCTATGGTTAAAATACAAATAAACCAAGAAAATCAAACAATGCAGAAAGATTTTCTAGACCATCTCTTATAGTTGCCTAGTCCCAAAAAGAAAATAAACTTGTCATACAAAAACTTGGCTAAGCTATTCCTAGGTACACTCATCTCTCAGAAATGTTGCTGAAGATTCTAAAAAGTCACCACATTCAAGTTATTAATGTTATCACATCAAATTTCTCTAATGTGCAAAACTGATGACATAACTCAATAATGGAACTGAAATGTTTAACTAAATCTGGAAAAAGAATGATTCGTCCTTCTAAATGTGTCAGTAGGTGAATATAAAAAGTCAACAAATTTATGTAAGAATAAAACTAAATAAGTACACTTTGTCAAGTCATGAAAACAACCATGTATATTGACAGGGAGAAAAATACTAAACTGCAGCAGAAATTACAATGTGCCAGGAGGGAAAGGCAATTCAGACAACTAGAATTTACATCAGAAATAGGTATTATGGGTATAGTTAGGTAGATACAATTACAGGTCTAGTGAGGCAGAGAGATAAGAATGTGTAATGACTTAAAACTGGTAAGAATTTAAAGAAAACTAAGGGATATTAAGAAAATCAAATTAGGTTAAGTAAGGAAATGAAAATCCTACAAAGAATAGCAATTTGAGAAAAGGTTATTCCTTTAAAACCAATTGAGAAGAAAAAGCATGAGATGAAGGTAGACACTTCTTGAGGTTAACAACTCCTTGCACGCATGGATAAAACAAAATAAACTAGACTAAAGTGAAACCAACATGCTGGCAGTTCTACAGTGACGAACAACTCAAGTTCAGTGAAATCCACTGACTTGTTAGAAACTGTGGACTAAAATTTCATGTATATTACATGGAGACAAGTGAAACTGGAAAAAAAGTCAGAATTAGATAGAAATGTGAGTGATGATTTTGTAAGGCATCTTATGAAACACATGAAAACCTTGTGTCAGAAATACAATTCAGGTTTGCTATCAATGATGGACAAAACAGATGAACTCTAAAGTTACTGGCTATCTCCACAATATTTACTATTAAAATTAAATATTTTTAAAAAATATTTTCCCACCAACCACAGCGAACACCTCTGCAACAGTAATCAGAAATACTACCATTCTTCTATCCTCTCACTTGGGAAGCTGGAAAACCTATTGGGTTTAATATAAAAATTTTCCTTAAGAGTCTTGTATGGACATTTTCAGGAGTTTAAGCTCAATATGGTCCCATTTTCTACTTCTTTTTAACAAAAATCCACAAAGCTTGCATTCTTTTGATATTCACTGCTAAAAATTTCACTGTTTATTTCTTTCTTTGCTGTGTCCTTGATATTTGATGAAGAACCTTTAGAAACCTTAGGAGAAAAAAAAATGGGATGTTGTGAGCATCCTCTTCCTTAATTGTTGAACAAAGATCAGTAAGCAAGGAAAAGGATGCTTATTTATTTATTTTTACAATATCTGGCTAAATGTGTATTTCCTTTCAAGAATTCCCCTTTTGTGCTATTTGAAAAATAAAGGATTGGGAATGTCTACACTACAATGATGCAAACACCTAATGGGATCAAACACTGGAGAAGCAGACTGGAACTTCCTGCACCACTCCTGTGGGGCAGTCCTGAGTCTAGCCAAGTGCCATGTCCTGCCCTCTCTCCGGAAGCACTAGCACAAAATACGTGGCAAAGTGCATGTGTATTTGGCAGAAAAGACAGTTGCTCCTTCATTGTTTTAGTTTGCATCAAAAGGCTCTCAAGTCAGTGCTATGCGGAGGCTCTGGTAAATGTTTTTCTTTGGGATCTCCTCAAAATGGGTGTGTGAGTATATTTTTACTCTATTATCTTTGAAGAAATGTGGAATTCACTTTGAATATTCTTCCAAATGGTCAAACAAACAGGGATAGTAATGGAGAAAGTAGTCTACTATTGCACATTCCCTCATTCCATATTTTAAGAAAAGTGGCTCAAAGTTAAAAGCACTGAACAAGTACCTTCTTAGTTAACAACACCCCCATTTGGTTATAATGTTCCGAAATTAATGGAGGAGAGGGGGATACTGTACATTTGAATACCAAGCTCTCTCCAGCCTCTGCTAGCAGAATGACTTTGTTCAAAGTCCTGTGGGACAGCTAATACTATGCCACTTCCTTCTGGGTGGTGGTCAGGCACATTAACTGGGATGCTCAGAATGAAGGTTGACTTCCTGACAAATGCAGCTTTTCTTCTCTATGTTTTTAATGCTGCCAAACCCATTTAATGAATGTGGGCACAACTACCATGTGTAAGCACTGAGCCAGATGAGAGAATAAAAATGAAACAAAAGACAAGTAAGATTGGGTGCCTATCCCTCCAGATATTAACAGAAGGAAGAAAAATACTGCTACAATGCTGTTTAAAGTGCCATAAAATAGTTGTAATAGGATCACTTCGTCATGAATTTTATCTGTGGAAGGGCTGGAAAAACCCAGAGATGATACCCAAATAAGTGAAAAAAACAGGATTGGCAGGTATGGAATTGTGAATGTTGAAAGAAGATACTTTAAATAGAAGACATAACTTTGGCAAAGAATAGTATTTCATAACACTGAACATTTTATGATTCTGCAGGTAGGAAACACTAGCTGAAATGAATTTAGGTAGGTTTATTGTAGGACATCTCAGAGCCTCTGATGAAGACCTATGTGCATTTGAGGCTCCGTGGGAAAAAGATGGCACACAGCATCCCTTACACTTACCCAGTGTGGAGTTTTGTTTTTTTTTAGCAGCACTCCTTGCAATACAATGCACTAGATCTCTACAGACCTCTCACTCTGGTTAAGACAGTATTTCTAAGAAAGATCCTGAGACGCTAATGCCAAATGTCTTAATATAAGACTTAAGTTATCTTAAAATGTAGCATGTCTTCATTGCAACCAAGTCTCCAAAAATTCAAAACATGGGGAGAGAAGATTAATTGATAGCCATCCAACAAGATGTGTAAAGCTTCCTGGTATGAACCCACTCTATGGGAAAGGACATCAGATACTGGAGACTGGTAGATACCAAACACTTGCAGAAGCATGAATCTGTCACAAAGATTTATCCCTGTTCCAGTCTACTCGTACTCTACACTCTGTACTCTGCTAAGGACTTAAGTCTGGAGTAAAGACAAAGAGTAAAAAAAACGTTACGACTGTTTTCTCTGAAAATCTCTGTATGACTAAAATTAAGTCCCAGAATATGAAATTTACAAATGGGCCTAAAGAATGGCTCTCATTTCATTACAGAAGACCCTGGGACAAAAAAGATGCTCAGCAGGTCACTCGTGTGTCTTTAGCGCTGTTGGTGACAAACAGGTCAGAGAAGAATCAGCATCATCACTTGGCAGAGATGGCAAGACTAACGAAGTTAAGAGAACGCCTTCTAGGTAACTGACCACAACTGTTCACTAGCACATGAAAGACACACCCCAGTGAATTTAGGAAATATGGGGACAGGAGACCAACATCTTCATTGCCACGACTAACTCTTGCAGAAAAGTTTAACTAATGGTTAAGAAGCATTACTAACTACCCACAATAACTGGGAAGAACTGCTGGATGTAATGATGGTGCAACAGCTACACAACTCGGTAAAATCAGATAGTTTCTATCAAAGTCATTCCATTTTAACAAGGTAGGATACAAAAAAATTTATGCAAGGGGAATTTGATCTCATTGTACATTTCCTTCCAATACTTTAAGAAAAGCTGTTATTATAACAAAACCAAAGGGTTTCTTAGTCAACAGAGATCATACAATTGCAAGGACATGTTCCTAGCATGAGGTATATAAGGTCACAGCACGTACATATTCAAGAAGTGTGGCTCAGTGACCTGGGACATGAGTTCCAGAGCTAGACTGCCTGGATTCTAATCTAAGGTCTGATACTTACTAGCTATGTGATTTATGTCTAAGTTATTTAACTTCTTTGTGCCTCCATTTCCTCATCATAAACTTGGGATAAAAGCACCTGCCCTTAAAGCGGCTACTAAGAATAGTATTTATATGTACCTGGAGGTACATACTTCCACCCATTAATTTATCTTTTTGGTAAAATGGTATAAAAATAATAGCTAATATTTATGATTCATTAACCATTGCCATGTCCTGTTCTCTAAGCTCTCTGCACATAGTTTTTACTTTGGTTTTAAAGTAAGTGAACTGAGATAAAGCACTTAAAACAGTGTCAAGTACATCGTAAGCACATTATGAATAAAATTACAACTACTATTACTATTGTTAAAGCTACCCTTTATGGAGTACCTCCTGTTACAAGTACTACTCTAGGTGCTGCCAATACATTGGCTCTCAGTCTCATCAAGACCACAGGGTTAGAATCAGCATCCTCACTGTGATGACAAACTCTTGCCGAAAGATTAAGTAGCATTATTGACTACCTACAATGAGAAGGAATTCTGGGTTCATAACCAGGTCTCTGGTTTCAAAATCTGACCTCCTTATACTCCATTATGCTGAGGTATAATTTAACAATATTTTTATTTGAAATACAGATGATTAGTCAAACACAACTATTTCTTTTTCTGATTTCAGTAGGTAACAGTATTTTTGATTACATTCATGTGGGATGTGAGACTTGTACAAAGCTGCTTCTGGGGGCACTGAGAGAGGGAACAGGGACCGTCCAGCGTCACTCATACATTACCACCACCAGATACTACATTTCTGCGAGGGAGACAGAGCATCAGAAACTACAAAACTTAAGAGGAACTACAGACTCTCTTTAATTAAATCTAGAGTACCTTCCAACATTTTATTGCATAAAATATTTCTTGCCACTTCTATAATCCAGTTGTTCCTCATGTTTTCAAATGTTTTATTAGCACTGTCATCACCATCTACATGCTAGCCACGTGGCTTTATAGACCCTTGGTGTAACTCAAATTAGGAAATACTGCTTTCAGATCTAGTACCAATATTCACTATTATAAAAATAATTCAATTTAATTAGTACTAGGAGAAATATTTGTGTAAGAGACAACTGAAGCTATCTCAAAGATCAAAACAACTGTTAAAAGGAACTTCAAGAAAGTAGACAGCACAATGCGTAAGTTTTAAGGTTATTGTACAATACATTAACATTCCCACACACATACATATATGGTTTTTTTTGAGGGGGGTCTTTTTTAGACACAGTCTCATTATGCAGCCCAGGCTGGCCTCTTGCCTCAGCCTCCGGAGTGCTGGGATTATAGGTATGTGTCACCACACCCAGCTCTTCTGTTCTTTTTATTTAATCAATATGCCACAAATTTCTCTTAAGACACACAGTCATTTTTCATATTAAGCTCTGTGAGTCAGATGATGTAAAACAGTGGCCTCCGATGAGAAGGAAAGCATAGCTGCCCTGGGCCCCCACTTGTCTTGGCTCTGCTGATGTCTCAAACCCAACTCTGACTCTTTGGGCCAGCACACACAGCAGCCGCATGGCCTACTTAGATCTGCAATAGCGGCATCAGATATGCTTACCGTGTAAAGTCACAGAAATGTTGTTTGTTTTTACCTTCTTTTTTTTGAGGAGAAAAGCTGGAACATAATGTTAACAAGAGTCATAGAGTCATACCATCTTTGGAATGCTAATCTGAAAACACAATTACTAATGAAATAGTTCTGCTTTTGTATTATTGAAAATTAAAATGCTTTCAGAGAACATTTATTATTCAGACAATTCTCATTATTGAAGTAATATATAAATAGCACTGCAAATTACATATTTTTTTAAAAAGTGACAAATCTTTGGTTGCTGGTATTTGCTATATAGAGTACAAACTTCAGTATTTGACTTGAAAATATAAGCATGTGGAATGAATTCTAACAGCTTATATGATATAGTTTTTTTTTTTTTAATCATTTCAGGATCCTAAAACAAAATACCCACCCTGAGAATCCTCGTCAGCCATGTTAACTCACTGCAAGGTGGCTCACTGTCTGGCACAAGCCATCAACTGGAGTTAACCATGGTGCATACACATTTGGAGAAATTAAAATGCTAAGTGAAACATAAGATTTTAAAATCAAAGAGGAGGGAAAAATCATTACTCAGTAGGTGGCACTCTTTCCTTTAAAATGTCACGCAGGCAACTATTAATAGTAAAGGTGCCTCTGCACTAATCACTTTAAAAAGGGGCCCTTTAATTACGCTATCCTGTCCTAAATACAGTTTGAATCACTGGCTTCCTAACATCTTCCTCAATTCAATAAGATGTAGGAGTTGTTCATAAATGTCTATTTGGTTTCACCACTTATGATTTGGCCAGCTATGTGGGTCAAACGATTTTCATGATAACCTTTTTGTTTTTTGGAGAGGACCTAGCTAAGGTGCCCTGTTAGGCTTTGTGTTGTGAGCCTCCAGCTTCAGTCTCCCAAATAGCTGGGATTAAACATGTGCTGCTACACCTTACAGACCATTTTCTAATTTTAATGATTTCAGATATTAAAAAAAAAAGCCAAACAGAAATGGAACAAAGAACTAGACTTGTAATATAGAAAATGTATTTTTCCCATGTAAAACATGAGAACAACTCTTTTAAGCATTCACATGAATATTTCTTTCACTAAGGACAACTTTGGCTAGATTCACAATCACTGGGTCTGACAATGAATTACACTTTTTAAAAAAACATAAAAATAAAGCTAATATTAGTAAAATTTACTTAGCATGTAGAAGAAACAACAAACACCCAAACAAACAAAAAAACTCAGCCAGGCATGCTCATACATGCCCATAATCCTGGCACTTGGGAGGTTGAAGTAGGAGGATGCTGCAAGTTCAAGGACAGTCCTGGGTACATAATAAGTTCAAGGCAAGCCTGAACTGCACAGTGAAACTGTCTGAAAAATAAAACAAGAACACCCCAAAACAAAAAACCTCTTCAATTCGCCTAGTTTTCCTAAGGTCATCCCTTGGTCTTAACAGCCTACAGGTTCAGGTTCCACCTCACTGCTAAACTTTCAAGTCACTCTGTTGGAGAAACTGCCCCACCTGTTACCTGCTGGCCACAGTGCCTGTAACAGTGTGAGTCTTCACTCACCAAAAAACACCCTGTTAAAATGACTTGTTACTCAACAGTCTCCAGCATGTGACAGCGGGATAGATCCTGAGGATGGAAATGGGGTCTCCACTTTACATACTTGGCCAATGAACAGGTGATGAATCTAGTGTGGAACGACCTTCCCCCTTAGGCTGTTTTACCTGAGAACAAGGTTTTTCAAACTCCTCACTTTAGCAGTACTGACTCTTGATAGCGGGCTGTGAGGAAGAAATCCCTTTCCAAGAGGAGTTTCCAAATTAGAATGGTCTCTGAGACGTAAATTTACCGGGGCCACCAGGTAAGTCATGTATTGCTGTTAGTATCTGCTGAGGGGGGGGGACCCCAGAAGAGACAGGTGGAACCCAATCTTGGGGAAAATGAAGGGCTCCATTATCAGGCAAATACTTACACAAGGTCAGAAAAGAAACTAAGAACAGTGAAAAAACTTTCCCACAGCTTTGAAACTTACCCACCCATGTCTGTAATTTTGTTAATGACTGTTGATTTTCCTGTGGTGAGTGCGAATACAAAGCTTGAATAAAACCCCTACTGATTTTGTCCCTGGAAGGGGAGAAGTAGGAGCCATGAGACTGCAGCTTCCTAGAGAAGCACTAGGAGGAGAAAGGACGCTAGCTCCACAGTCGCTGAATTGGTGTACCTATGCAAGCGCAGTGTCAGAAGGTGGATTCCACGTTCTTCAAAAATGGATTCTGCTACCTTGGTAGTGGTATAGACTGGCAGGACATACTGATACCACAGGCTAAGAATGAAAAATAAAGCTGCTATCTCTAGTCTGTTTTATTCCAAGACTTCCAAGAGGGATGCAAAGTGAAGGTTCTGCAGTTAAAAGATACAAATGTAACTGAAGTATAAAGTTCAAATGGATTAAGGTAAACCTTGAGACCTGAATCAATTTTGTTCATTTCTCCAAGTAAGCATTATAAAAGATAAACTGCACAGCGCTGAAGTATTAGCCATGTCCCCACCCCTGTCAACCAAAAAAGTTTCTCAGTAAGCAGAATAATATAATATCTATGGGGGATATTCAAAATAAATTATTTTCTAACTAGTAATTTTATTTATTTATTTGAGTCAGGGTCTTGCACGGTATTCCAGCTGGCCTCAAACTTACAGCAATCTCATGTACTGGAATTATAGTTGTGTGCCACCATATCCACCAAAAAAAGTACTTATTTTAAACCTCTGATACTTTATTATTCTCAACAAGACACTCTTGAATAACTGTCCACCCCTGAATGTATACTTCAGCATTGAAGCATGTGACCAGTCTGGTTCACACACTGATCAGGTCAGAATGCAAACAAGGGACAATATCTTTATGGGATAATTAAAAGGGATAACCAGGCAGAGGGCAGAAAAGTGTTAAGAAGTACCCCAAGGGCCTAGACAAAAAGCGATTCTCTGAACAAAGGGGATAGCCCCTTTGAAAGAAGTCACATATTCTAGAAAAGTAAGTGTACAAAAACGGGAAAATCACGTGAACAGAAACCATGCAAATGAGTCCCGAGACACTTACAACCATTTTTTGCTACTATTTAATCTCTATAAGAGAAGAGTGTTTTACATTTCATCACTGATGTACTTCCAGTGCCTGCAACATAGCCAATTATTAATAAATTTGTCAAATGAATGAATGCTTTGTTATATTGTGAACTATAATAATTTGAGCAATGAGAAAACCCCTATGTACATATTTCATAACCATGGCAAGCTTTTCACCACAGACTGGTTTTCTATTAACCATCAGTCAACCTCCTTCCAAGACTCCTAGAGAAACTTCAGTGATTCAGAAAAGCGTATCTACTACTTTAACAACTGATAAAATTTTCTTTTCTTTATTCCATCTCTTGCCTGTAAGAATTCTGTCCTCTTCCTATCTTGAAACAATCAACCAAACCAATCCCGAAATGCATTGTTTTGGCAAAGCAGCTGGCTTCTACATCTTCTTTTCCTCTCTCTCCAGGTTTTTCCAGAGCAGTCGGACCTGTCCCACCTGTCTTTCACCCTTCTTCCCTCTCCCATTACTCCCATTAGGATGCTGGGGGTCCTGGTATGTGCCCTCTGTGACCCTCATCCAGTGGCATCTCTACTCTGGACCACCTGCCCTCAGGAATGTCCTTGTTCCTGCCTTATCCGTGTCTCCTATGGGGTTATGTCTCAGGACTCTCTGTTGAATCCTTTCCACATTCTTTCAAGGAATACAAACACTCCTCATGAAAGATTCTGAATTAATACTTCCCTGCTACCCTTTCACAGGTATGGGTACGAGCCTAGGCTTACTTATTAAAGAATTCTAATTGCAGCAGGAACCATTTATTCATTTCTCAATCCTTAGCATTTGTGCTGGATTCTGAGTAGTCCACAGTTCAACTGAGCAAAGGTATTAGAGAGAAATACATTAGACTCCATGAAATTTCTATCCAGAAGATTGAATTACTATTAATGCAATAGGATGTAAAATTAAACATGTCTTACTTTACACTGTTTCATTCATCAAGATATTGTCCCCTCTATCATACTGTATGCCTCAGTTTTTTTCCAAGAGTTTCTCATGAAACTGGCTGTAAATGAATCATTAGTTAAAGATCACAAGACTTCAACCCTACTGTAACCTCAACGCCAGCTTTTACCAAGGGAAAACTCAATTCCAGGTACAATGGCATACACACATAAAGTTTGTCATTGAGTTGAAGTGACAGAGTAAGTTTCTGTAATCAGCTCATTCATAAGATGTGTGGTATGGCAAGCATATTACTATTATTACTGAAGAAAACAGAGTAATACAACATCAGAGAAACAAGTCAAAGGCAAAATATATTTACCTTGCCTTCAAGGAGATCTCAGTTTTTACCTGAGTGCCCTTTCTATAAACTCAAAGATAATCTCCTTTGTTTGTTGGGAAGGCCGATTACTGAATTCTCTCAGAGTTGCTAAGCTCTTTTAATTATCAAGGATGCTTGCTGAACAAAAAATAAAAGTCTCACACTTGACAGGTGGCCATTTGTTAACTTACTGCCCTAGAGCAAAACAAACATCAATTAAGAGAATATCTACTGAAATCCATTTAGAAAAAAAAAAATCACTGTAATGGATGTTGGCCTTAAATATTACTATCTTTACACAATGTAAATAGGGTTTCCCTGTACTTGAAAACACACAAACTGGAGAATACCGAAGTCTGCAGTCTAGACTGCAAATGTGGTCAGATAACCTGAATATGCATATCCTTTACATTTAAAAATTACTGGAAATAAAAACTAGCTCCCTCTGCAGAAGCTCTCTGCTACAGAGGTCTACCAGCCACAGCTAGTTGTGAAGAAATTTATTTCAAAACGCCTTAGGTATCAAACAAAGCTCCCCAACAGCATGTGCAGGACTCACAGGTGCAAACAGAGAAGATAGCACCATCTAACTTTCTGAATGATTCCCACTGGCCATAAAACAATAATGCCTCTGCAAGCCGAAGTGTGGCAAACTCTTGTTAAAGTGTAAAAAGTACTTCACAAATGTTTATGATTATTACTTTTAATACATGGGCATATCCAAGCCACTTTCCATCTTACTGACCAAAAAAAAAAAAAAAAAAGGGCAGTGAGGACATCTAAGCAAATCTGCAGCTCAATACCTAGTCCCTTACCTGGCACAGTAAATACATGAAATCTGAATGCATTTGTGCTTACAACTTGCCTTATTTTATAAGAACTGCATGTAACAACAAAAAAGTTAAAATATTTTATTGATGTTTCTTATATTTTTGAGAGACCCAAGCAGATAAAGCTATCACTGATATGATTTTAACTTCATCATTTGCTACATGAGAAATAATGGATACAACCAAGACAAGCACATGAATAATTTACAAGACAATGAAACTTTTGTTCTGATGCAACTCAAACCTAGTTCCTAATTTTAGAAAAAGTAAGTAAATAAATAAATGATTGTACTGGCTTAGAGGATAGATTTGGAGTATTAAGTGTCACATACTGGTTGGAGTTCATGTGGTAGTTTCGCTAATCACTAACTGTAGCTGTACTGGAGTACTGCTTCTCTGACTCTGCCTTCTCATTTGTAAAATAGAATAAAAATTGCACTTACTTCATAGAGAAGTGTATGACTTAAATGAGACAATCTTTATAGTGCATCCAATGTTCAAAGCAGAAAGAGTTCTCTATCATTGTTATTTTAAATAAAACAAGTACAGTAAGAACATAATGAAGAACTAGGACAAACTAGGTCTTACCAGTCTCAAGTCTATGCCTACTCTAAAAAGTAGGAAACCTCATATTTGGTCAATTATATAAACCTAGAGGTTTGTCTGAAACTCTTTAATGCCATATCTATTCCTTAAGAGTCAGTATGAGCAAGAATCCCAGTAATTTCTTTTAATCTTTCTGGAAGCACTTCCATATTCATCATCTCATTTTATGTTCTCAAGTTTTGGAAGTGGGAAAGGTATCGGCTCTATTTTATAGAGGGAGATCATCAAAACTCAAAAAAGGTTAAAATAAATTCACTTGCTGTCTTGCAGAAGCTGTTAAAGAATTAATGGGGTCAGGCCTCACAAGCTTGAGCCAATGCTACCAGTCTATCACAATAATTATAGAGGTGAAGTATCTTTCAACTACAAACACCTTCTCCATTAGTTAAAGAAGGATACTACAGGGGAAGAGAAAATCAAATATGTTTATAAGGAAGGTCTAGTGTCGGGGCTGGGGGTTTAGCTCAGCGGCATAAGCGCCTGCCTTGCAAGCAGGCAGTCATGAGTTCAATCCCTGGTACCGATAAAAACCACAAAAAGACAAAAAAAAAAAAAAAAAAAAAAAAAAAGGAAGGTCTAGTGTCTTAAACTTCAATTTAATATGATTTTCGTTTTAGCAGAAACAATAAAAGAAACTGAAGTTTAGTATTCGAATAGTTTTAGTTTCCTAAGTATTACTTATACCTTCTCACTGTCACATAAAGAAGAGCTTAAGGAGAAGTCAAAGATTATTATAGAGTTTATGTCTCTTAGTTGTCATATCAGTACTACATGAGCAATAATAGGTATCTTAAATAAATTAGAATTCTGAGTCTTTTAATATTTTAAGTTCTGAAAAAGCAGTGATTCTGAAAATCATTTATTAAGTCCAAAAGTTAACATGTTGCTAATCTGTGAAATGGCAGGGTAACTGCTGGATTGTTAGTTGGTCTGATTAACATGGAATTTCAAAGTGAGAGTATGAGGACACATTAAGCTACAAATCAAATCAAGGAGTAAAAAAATTCAGGACTATTTGGTTACATATGCCTGTACTCCCAGCACTCGGGAGGCTGAGGCAGGAGAATCAGCACAAATTTAAGATCAGCCTGGGCTACAAAGTGAGCTCAAGGCCAGGCTGAACCGCATACAAAAGACCAAAAAAAAGTAAATAAATAAATAAATAAATAAACAAACAAACAAAAATTCAGGGCTACTACTTTTGTGGTCCATCTTCCTGTACCAAACTCCTGGAAAGAGGCCCGATTTGGGTTTTGTAGTTCATTTGCTCCGAGATGGAGGGCAGCTATCCCTGCTCCTACCTTTATGCTCTCCCCATCCTGCCTCTGCTTTGGTCTCCTTAAGAAGCAGAAGTCTCCTTTGGTTCTTTTACACTCCAGCAAGGACAACAGTTCACTACTGTTCTGAGCAGGAACAATTACTGGAGGCAGCTGAACAATCTGTGCTGGGAGCCCACCTGGCCTTGGCCCATGCTGCTATCAATCACTGAGGACCCTAGGTGACACCCAGTAATGATTTTACTTCCCAGAGTTTCACAGACACTCCAAAATGCTACTGGGCCAAGGGCAAGATGTGAGAGTCACAGCAGGTAAAGAGTCACAGCAAGTAAAGAGTGCTGACAGTACCATACCCTCTCCCTGGCTCTGGAGGACTGCAGGTGACACAAGTCTAGTGACGGTTGTCAGTCTGTCTCTACAGTGAATACAGTCATACACATCATTCTAAAACAACCATATTTTTAAACTCATTTTCATAGTTACAGAAGACAGAGTTGGTATGCTGAAAAGATGAAAATTCCAAGGTGTTTTAAATGGCTTTTGAGTACTGTATGTATTTGAGAAAATTTGACGTATGTGGCTCACTAAGCATAGGGCAAGAATAAGCCAATTCTGTTATATTCCTTCAGCAAAAGCATCTTACAAAACATGTAAATGCTTTACCATTTTTTAAAAAAATCAATGCAATATTTGTAGAACATTAAAAAAATCAGGAATTGACAGCATAAAATTTTCTACGTCTTTGGGTTAATTTTTATGACTGATTTTAAACTTCCTGGGCCATGTAACACTTAGCTCATGTGATGTAAATACAAAAATGAATTACCTGGGGCATTTGTAAATAACCCAATAGTATGAGGTCAAGAAGTTAACCAAGCAGTGCAATATATTACAGGTTATCTATACCGTAAAGCACACAGGAACATTTGATTAGCACAGAGAGAAAACACAGGACAAGGTAGGTGCCCTGGCACTCTTAATAAACTTGCCACAGCATATATTCACAAGCAGCTCACCAAAGACCGAGCAACAGCATGACCGAGGGACAACTTGGCAGCACTGAGTGAAAAAGCAGCACTTTAACCAAAAAAAAAAAAAAAAAACAAACAAAAAAAAATATGTTTAACAAAACATATATATGTATGTTTAACATATATATGTGTTTAACAAAACATATGTATGTGTTTAACGAAACATATATATATGTTTAACAAAACATATATGGCATACGGCAGTTTCCTGTGTTTTTAAGAGAGAAAGGGGAAGAAAAAATAGGAAACAGAACCTTTAAAAAACGACTTCATTTTGGCTCAAGATATGGCCAAATATACTCTCTACTTAAATGAGAACTTACTACAAATCTGTTCTTAATAATGAAAATCGAAGGCATCCAGTATTTCGGGGGACCCTTTAATAAGAACACAGCACTATACTGTACAATGTAATTCTCAGTATATTTCTTGGCAAGCTGCTGGATTCAGATAAACTGATTTCAGACACTAATGGTTTTATACATTTATCACCAAAACTTAGCCCAGGAAGTCACAGGGAGAAGAAAAAGCAGTAAGTTCTTGAGTATAACCTTTTCTATTTTATGCCAAAACTGCCTTTTGGGCCAAAGCCGAAAAAGGCAAGGCTTTGTTCTCATGTGTCTCTGGCACTATTAAAAACTCTCCTAGCAAATCTTCTTGCAGTGGAGGGAATGTTCTACTACCTACTTATAAAACTGCAGGATGATTTCAACCTGCATTGTGCAGATGACAGTCTAGCTGCCTTATTTACTGGTGATGAAACTACTATATATAGGTAATATTTGCTAAACACAAACATGTTTACTTTATCCTGTCTTTTCACTTTGCAAAATAATATTCAGTTATCACAATTGGTCACAACAGGTTGGAGACCAGTGCTAAAGTAACCAAGATTCAAAAAGACTTTTGCTGTTCCTTATCCCAGCCTTGTCTGGAAACCATGTGATAGTACTACACAGTTCTGTAAGTGCTTCAAATAAATATAAGAATAAATGATCACTATATGAACTAGAGGACTGCTGTCATGGGTCTGGCTGGAAGCAAAAGGGACAAGTGTCCTTCACAACCAGGAATCTAAGGCATAAAGTAATTATTGCTGATGTTCCTATGTTTAGCAATGAACTACAAGTAGCTTCAGCTCTTTGTATGAAAAAATATGAACGTTTGACTATATGCCAACCTCTTGCAATTACAATGATTAAATCAGTCAGTCTTATTCCAAATCTGTCTGAAAGTCATAATTTTCTACAACTTGAGACCAGAATTATTACATTAAAAAGAAAAGTAAAAGGATCAATAGTAAAATTCCTATTTGCCACTAACTGCCATCTGTATTCAAGTTACTTGAAAAGAGGTTCCAAAATGTAATTAATTTTGAATTTTCACCATTAGGAAACAATGTAATTGTCACTGAATAAAGCATTTTCAAAGTTTAACTTAAAAAAGTATCCATACATACTTGTATTTATGAAAAAATCTTTATAATCACAGCAAAAAGTTAAAGGATCCTTTTGCTTATTAGATATTATCTGTAGTGAATGTCTTTTCCTTATACAATCGAGATGAAAAAGACAGCTGTTAACAGTACAATTATCAAACAATAAATCTAAGCTATTTTTAAAACTGCTGCTTAACTAGGTAATATTTGCTAAACATAAACACAGTATCTACTTTACCTTAATTTTTCTACTTTGCAAAATAATATTCTCCAAGCAGTTACAGCTTTCTTAAATATATTTTCTCAGTAATCAATATGCTTTCTCTTTTTCCTCAGCCTCCACTGTTCATTTGTATTTCTCCTTTACAGTCAGTATCCAGGTTTAACATCTTAAGAAGTTCAAAAACAACTGTTTCAATAATTATTAACTTATCCATATGAAAGAGTTTTCAAATTAAATTTTTGGAAAGTTGCAAGAATTCTAGAGAACTAAGATTATGTAAGTCAATCTTTTTTCCCCCCACAAATGAGAAAATGAGAACCAGAAATGCTGCCTTGGATCACAGAATAATGAAAACCTTGATCCTACTACGAGTGGTAAGATGCTTCACCTCCCATCACAGAATTATGAAAGGTACAGTTTACCATTTTTCCAGAAAATCTTTTCAAAATAGTAAGGAAAAATGAATTTTAAATATATGAACTGCCTCTGTTAAACTAATGGTAACTAGCAAGGTAACTTGAATGAGGCTTATACTTTTCTCCATGGTTATAAAAGTGTAATGACTCTTCAGTCACTTGCAGTGGCACTACCCACAATTACTACTAACTGAATATTTATCAGTATAAGAATCTTATCAGGGGCTGGGGATTTAGTTCAGCGGCATAAGTGCCTGCCTTGCAAGCGCATGGTCATGAGTTCAATCCCCGGTACCACTTAAAAAAAAAAAAAAAGAATCTTATTTTGCCCTATGTGTGTATAGAAACATCACACTGAGCCCCATTAATATGCATAATTGTTAATAAAATTTTAAAGAAGAATGATTTCCTTATATCACCTAATCACCCACCCACCATTATCTCCATTTTAGAGATGAAAAAGCTGAGGTTTGGGGAAGTCAAGTGACTATTGATTGGCAGTAAGTATCAGGTTTGAGAACTCTAAATTATTACACTGTGCTGTCTGACATGGAAATACACAATTCCAGAGTCAAAGTCAGAAAGGGTAGATGAAATTTATCATGTATGAGAGCACTTCCAATCAATCTGTGAACCTCTAAAATCATGAGAGCTATTAGAGGTGCAAGAGCCATGGCTCCCAGACTCATGACCTCAGACTGTTCTGCCCCTGGTCTGGTGCAACTCCTTTGGGCCTCCTGACCCACTTTCTTGTGCACTGTGGTTACCTGTCCAATTACAAAGGCTTTTTATTCTGTCCCAAGCACTGAGATCTAAGGACTAACCAGTGGAGCAGTAACAAGGCAGAGAGCTCTGCCTGGTTCTCTCTCGGGCCCGGCCTGCAATCCTGTGCCCGGCTTAGACCCTCAACTTTATCTGTACCCTGTCACCACCTATACCACGTTATCTGAACTATACTGGATGCTTTTCATATCATCTTATGACTGCTGATTTCTGGGTCTGTGTCCTTCACTCTTCCCGGGCTACGATGGTACCTACCTGGAAGCCCGCTTTGCCTCTTACTCCTTCACATTCCTTAGGATCTGGCATTCTCACCTTGCTATTTCCTGGGAAACTCTCTCAACACCTGCCCATACCCACTAGGTTAGGCCAGCCAATCCTTGTCATCAGGTAAACTCTCCACAGTAACAGCAGGATGAAGACTTCCTCCCCTCTGAGTCTCAGCACTTTGGCTCATGACAGTCATTCAGATTCACTAGAGGTGGTAAAGTCCTCTCATCAGGAATGGTAGCAGAAGTGATGAGAGGTGCTCATGCTGGTGTACTTACTACTTAGGCCCTTTCATTTCTCTAGAAAGAACATCCAGAGACGAACAAAAGGAGGTGTGGACGGGCTCACATCTGATGTGCTTGTTTACCTCCAACCTGTCAGCTTGCTGGGACTTTGCCTGGGGAAGCCTGGCAGCTGATATAAACTTTGTGATGGACATGCCCATGCCCTAGTCAAACTCTATACTTAAAGCATGTAAGTGTATTTATTCTCTGACCTTTGATGGCCTTGAATGATTCTCAAGGATAGTTTTGGCTATCCTTGGCACACATGCTTTCTCACAGATTGTCCTTCAAAAATTTTAACACACACAGAAAAATTTGATTCATTTTACAATAATTTGTGCTTTACAAACAACATTTCTTTATAGGTACTGTTATTCAGAAGTTACGACTACATGTATGGTAAGAAGGGTAAAACTTTTTTTTTGGTCTTTTTGAGACAGGGTCGCGCTATGCAGTTCAGGCTGGCCTTAAGCTCACTTTGTAGCCTCGGCTGGTCTCGAACTCGCATTGAGACCCCTGCCTCAGTCTTCTGAGTGCTGGGGTTACCCGCAAGCCACCACGCCCGCCCGGCTAAGAAGGGTAAAACCTTTTAGAAAGGTTTATGAGTGACAAATTTGCATGATATTGAGCAAACATGAAACTGAAAAGTTCAGCAGAATTCACAGTACAGTACTGATTTCTACAAATAGCCACGTTTATTTTTAGTACACTACCAATAATTCTTCAGAGAGAATTTAGAGAATAAAAACCATAAATACCTCACACAGAAGACAGAATCAGCAGGAAAATAAACATAAGAACACGGTACTAAATGACTGTACAAGTGTTGTGGAAGAAGGTACGAAGAGATTCAACCTCTAGGGACCTGTAAGTGACATCATGGAGTCCAGACTTTTTTTTTAACCAGGGATTGAACTCACGACCTCACCACTTGCCAGGCTGGCACTTACACTACTGAGCTAAATCCCTGGCCCCCAGACTTCATTTTGAAGATAAAGAAAAGGTTGACAATGGCATGACCCTGGATTAGCAGCCATGATAATGGAGAAAAGTGGGCTGAATCTGGCAGGTAAGTAGAACAGAACTGCTGACTTGCTGAATGGCTGAGGAAGCCAGAGGAGTAAGAGCAGAGCAACTAGGGAGACAGCAGCAGGCACCCAAAATGTTGGGAGCCGCAGCCCCGAGCCCGGTCGCCTCACTTGGCGGACGTGAGGCCTGTAGTAAAGAGTGAGGCCTGAGGTAGATTACCCCTCCCATCGAATATGCTAGTTTCCTGCTTACCGCGTAAACAACCCGCTCAACAATATAGTCTGCCTGGCAACTGATGATGTTAGCCAATCAGCTTGCCTTGCTTACTTTAACATGATTGGACACTGTACCCGTATATATACTGGTGCCACCCCTGGGAGGAAGTAGAAGCCAGGTAGAAGCCCGGAAGTAGAAGCCCAGAAGGAGCTGCGGAGAGCGGACCGATAGAGGCTTCGGGGCAGACTGAAGCACAAGAGGAGCCGCGGAGAGCGGACCAAAGGAGGCTTCAGCTGGGAGAACCCAGGGCAGGCTGTACGGAGAAAGGAAAATAAAAAGAAAAGGTTGTCCACTACCAGACTATGTCGTGTGTCCTTCCTGCCGGCCGGGAGCGGACATCGACATTTGGTGGCCCGTACGGGGACTGATCACCCCCGAGACGTGGAAGTGGACAACGCTCCAGTACAGAGCTGCGAGACAGGTGAGTTGGGGATAAGCCTGGGCTCTGGGTGGCGCGCACCTACAGGGCTTTTAGACTCCCCTCAGGCTCACGCGTAAGTGGCGGATTTTTGGGCCTCACGCGGTGAGTAACATATTAAAAAATGGGAAACATGCTAGGTAGCGGCACTAAGAGCGAGGGTGGTTGTGGAGAAAGCTCTCAAGAGCTTACAAAAGTATGCAGGGTATCTGAGCAGGCCCAGTCAGGGAGCTCCCGAGAGGGGTCTGTCAAGGGGAACAAGGATGCTAAGGAGGAGGACGGGGCTCTAGCCTCGGAGTCGTCTGACTCCGAGGACGAGGGAAAGTTGAATGGCAGGGAGGCCAAAGAGACTAGCTGTCAGGAGCCTAAGTCGCTCCATAAGGAGTCGGGTCTGCGGAAGAGTAGAGAGCTCCTGAGTGCGCCCCGGCGCGAGAGGGAGGCGAAGCCTTCCGCCCCACCTTGGGGGCCGTTTCCGGAGGCGATCCCTCGCCGCGGGGCGGCCGCCCGGGAGCTCCCTTCCTCTTCGCCAGAACAGGAAGTGATGCACGGGCCCCCATTTTCCGCCCAATCACGGCCGTTGTTTTATGCTCCGCCGCCGGCGGATCGGTATTTTCACAGGTGGCTTTGGCAGGGGAGACGCTTGTTTCATGAGGTACATCCACCACCTGGGATGGATAGTGACCCCTACGAGATATTTCCTGTACAAGTAGCTATGGGCCAGGGACGCAATGTATGGGAGCCTTTTGAGATAAAGCAGATTAGAGAACTTAAAAATACAGTTACAACTTTTGGGCCGACTGCGCCTTACACCATTGCCATGCTGGAGAATCTGTATTCTGGGCCCCTCACCCCCGCGGACTGGATTCAGCTGGCGGGGGCGTGTCTGCCCTCGGGTGGTTACCTGGATTGGCGAGCCTGGTATGCAGAGTCCTCTGCAGAGCAGGCTGAGAGAAACGCCAATCGGGGAGACCGGGGGTGGAACAAGAGAATGCTTGTGGGAGAGGGTCGGCGCGCTGATGGTCAGACTCGGTTCCCCGGCGCTCTCTGGCGGGGAGGAGATAGAGAGCCATCCGCTCCGCCCTGGAGCTCTTTTCTAAAAGCGGCTCCCCGCCGAGAGGCCGCCACAGGAAACCCTCCCTTCCCTCAGCCGGCACAGGAAGTGACGCCCCGTTTCACTCTGTCGCGACCGCAGTCTTATGACGTCGCGCCGCTGGGCAGACGGTATTTTCATGGGCGGCTACTCTGCCGAGCAGGCTGAGAAAAACGCCGGTCGAGGAAAAAGGGGCTGGGGATTTAGCTCAGCGGCTTAAGCGCCTGCCTTGCAAGTGTGCAGTTGTTAGTTCGATCCCTGGTACCACTAAAAAAAAAAAAAAAAAAAAAAAAAAAAAAAAACGAAAAAGATAAAAATAAAAAATAAAAAACAAAAAGGGGGAGTAAACCCTCGAGGTTTGATCCCTGGTGATGTTTGGCAGATGGACATCACACATATACAGGAGTTTGGGACTCTTAAATATGTTCATGTTTCCACAGACACCTGTTCTCGCGTCATATTTGCAACAGCAGAAACAGGTGAAAAAGTGTCTAATGTGATCAATCATTGCCTGGCGGCTTGGGCCGCATGGGGCAAACCAAAAATATTAAAAACTGATAATGGACCAGCCTATATAGGCAAAGCTTTCAATGAGTTCTGCAAAATGATGGAGGTTCAATTAAAACATGGTATCCCATACAATCCCCAAGGTCAAGGAATCATTGAGAGGGCTCATAGAAGCCTCAAAGAAATTTTACAAAAACAAAAAGGGGGAGTAGGCCAAGGCCTGGCCCCAAAGGCACGATTATCCATGGCACTATTCACACACAATTTTTTAAATTTAAATAATGATAATCGCTCCCCAGCTGTGGAGCACTGCAACCCTTCCCCCAACCATAAAGGGTGGGTGAAGTGGAAAGATGTCCTGACAGGACAATGGATGGGCCCGGATCCGGTAATCAGCTGGAACCGAGGCGCGGTTTGTGTTTTCCCACAGGAACCGGGACGAGAACCACTGTGGATACCGGAGAGACTGACACGGACAACAAAGCCCTCGACTGAAGATCAGACCTGCCCTACCGGAGATCCATCACAGACCAACCAACAAGATGAATAGAAATAGCGGTAGCTCGAAATGGACAAGAAGATCCTCAGACATATGCATGGCTTGCTCGATTGGCCCACGACCGAGTCTAGATATGGCGGGCATCCCTCATTCTCCTCCATAAGGTGACAATACACAGCAGGGTAGATGAGTCAATGACGGGTAAGAGCGTGCCTCCCCAGCACGACTCGACCTAAGCCAGGCCCTACCCCATCCTGCACGTAAGCCGCTGGACTGTTAGATGCTGCCCAGGTCTAAATTTCTCTCCGAGGGGATTTCTTTACGGAGAGGAAATGAGTGCAAGCTTGTGTGCATCCAGGTTCCGTCCAGTTTGTGCCTGGCCCTAGAAAAAGGACGAGGGCCTCAGGGCCTTGGCAGACCATGGGACGGCCGACCAGGGTCTAAGCCAAGGACCTACGGTGGGCCTACGCATAGGGCATAAGCCTCTGCACCCAGTCCAGGAAGGGCTACGATGCGCACATTCATAAAAAATAAAAAAGGGGGAGATGTTGGGAGCCGCAGCCCCGAGCCCGGTCGCCTCACTTGGCGGACGTGAGGCCTGTAGTAAAGAGTGAGGCCTGAGGTAGATTACCCCTCCCATCGAATATGCTAGTTTCCTGCTTACCGCGTAAACAACCCGCTCAACAATATAGTCTGCCTGGCAACTGATGATGTTAGCCAATCAGCTTGCCTTGCTTACTTTAACATGATTGGACACTGTACCCGTATATATACTGGTGCCACCCCTGGGAGGAAGTAGAAGCCAGGTAGAAGCCCGGAAGTAGAAGCCCAGAAGGAGCTGCGGAGAGCGGACCGATAGAGGCTTCGGGGCAGACTGAAGCACAAGAGGAGCCGCGGAGAGCGGACCAAAGGAGGCTTCAGCTGGGAGAACCCAGGGCAGGCTGTACGGAGAAAGGAAAATAAAAAGAAAAGGTTGTCCACTACCAGACTATGTCGTGTGTCCTTCCTGCCGGCCGGGAGCGGACATCGACACCAAAAGGGTAAGGAGATCTAGGGGCAAGGATGGCAAGGATGGCAAGGATGGCGTTCAGTCTGGATGCATGATATTTGCAGTACACAGTGAAGTTGTCCCCCTCTTGAAGAACTATCCAGGTAATAGTTGAATGCAAAGTTCTACAACCAAAGCAAAGACATTTCAGGCACCAAAATATCAGTAAGTCTGCAAAGATAATCTCCTTATAGAACCTTACTTTTTATGCAGTGATTGATTTTCTTTTTTTCCTTTTTTCTTTTTTTTTTCATTTGTGAGGCCCAGGGGACAAGACCGTGCCTGCCACATGGCAGGCACCAAAAGAGGCTGGTGCCTGAAATAGACAGGGACTCAGGTCCTTGCGACCAGGTCTGCTGTCACTCCCTGAAACGCATAGTATACTGCCCCCAATGCTCTGAGACCAGCAAGTAATAGTCAGGAAGATTGATTTTCTTTTAATCTTTCTATAAAACTTGATAATTGTTATTTAGGAATGTAGATCCTTGAAGCAAGAAACAGATTTGAAATAAGTGTATTTGAGGATTTCTAAGTATATAAACAATGTAGTATAAGACACGGAGTATTTTTAAGATAGTAAGTCCTAGGATGCCTTATCGAAAAATATGAAGAAAATAAAAGTTTGAGTCCTAAGTCACTTATTAAGCTTAAAGTATTTTTAAAAACCCATAAAGACCTCATAAAAATCTTACAGTAGAGAATATCTACTATGTATACAATATTTACAATTTATGAAAAATTTTTCAATAAACAATGGAAACATGAATGCATTCTGTCGGAAATGCATGTATCAATACCATCTTCATTTTATAGGTGAGCAAAGAAATTACAATACTTGCTAGTGGTGAACCCCTGGCTAGTACCATGATTTTTGTTCTCTTCTCGCTATATAGCACTGCCTCCCCACAAGGCTTTTCTGGTATAACCTAAATACAGAAGTCTTCAAATTAAGAACAAAAATTTGAAAGCAAAAATTTAAAACTTATTAATGGAAAAACACTATAATCAAAGTCATAACAAAAATTGAGGAAAACAATTATAATGTATGACAGGACTGATATTACTATATATAAAGAGTGCTTATACGTTAATAATAAAAAAGCAATTTTATCCCAGATATAAAAGGAAATTCACAAAAGCAGCATGAAATTGTCAAAAGATGTGAGACATACAATGACCCTAAAAAGCTGAGAAAAATAAAGTGAGAAATCTTTTATCCAGGAGATTGGCAAAAGTGGAAGACTGTTGATATGTGATGTTAACAAAAATGTAAAGCGAAATTCTCATATACTGAGCTAAA